GAGATGGGGGAAAAAAAAGAGAAAATACCCATTTCTGCCTCCTCCCCCTCAGGGAGTCGAGCTGTCCTTCAGGAAAAGATTGTAGGACTTGCTAATAGTTAAAACTGGTCAGGGAGGAAATGCTAATCTTCTGAGTCCTCAGTTTCTCTGTGCACCTCCAAATGTCACACTACAATCAGAGGGCAATCTGCAAACACCCAAATAGACCTTTGCAGTCCTTGCTTTCCTCTTGGGTGGCAATGGAGCACAGTTTGGTTTTGTTGCTCTGTGTGTGTTGTGAGATTATCTGGTTTATTTCCTCCCAATATGTCTTATTTCTGAATACATCACGAGAATGAAGCTGTCATGTCAATAAAATACAGACACAAAACAATGGGTGAACAGAGTGTTTTGAGTAGCATGGAAAAGGCTGAGTTCATGGAGTGCTGGCAGGGTGTCAGTGGTACTGCTGACAGGTAGGAGAGACCTCAATTAATCCCAGACAAGTTCCACTAATTAGGGAGATAAACCATACTTCTTCCTAAGTGCAAAGTTTGGAAGAAAAATGTACAAATTGAAATAGAGGCTGTTCTCTTTAGCTTTTGTGGAGCAGATTCCCCTAAAGCCAGTCTTCTTGTTAGCTGTGATTCCACAACCCTGGCTGATGGAGGGCAGCTCCTTTGGCTCCATCTCCCTCTCCCCACTCCCAACACAGGCAGCTCCAACTCCTGGCTTCAGAAATTTGTAATATCACCCCCCATTTCCTCTCCATCAATTGCACATCAATAGATCACCACTCTATAAAGTAGTCAGGCATGTTTGTTTGTCTTTTTTCCCAAAGTAGGCGATACACTAAATAAAAATTCTATATAGATTTAATATTAAATGAAGTAACCCTACAAAAACCCGTGGAGCTCCCTTGGCACATCCCAATTCCAGTTTTGCTCCCTTGAGCACTTCCGTAGGAGGTGATGCTGCTGAGCTCAGTCCTCATGTCAAAGTCCTGCTTTTAAATTTCTTTTAAATGCTCTTTCCCTGCTGTGAAATGAGACCAGGGAGCGTGGTGGGGCTGGCTGTGCTGCTGCAGTGTCAATATTGGAGGAACCCAAGGCAGATGGCAGAGTTCCCACCACAGCCCAAGGCCATGGCTCTGTTGTAAGCCACTTTTTAATGAAACTCAATTTAATATATTGAGTTTCCGGGTGGCAGCTGGGGTGACCTCACTCACTTCAGGGGCTGTGTCTGCCTGGCGAGGGCAGCCAGCAAGGAGAGGCAGAGGAATGAAGAAATCTTAGTCTTGCTTTCAGGCTACACTGACAAAAAGGCAACTTTTCATTCTGAAATCAGAGATGATTTAAATTGTAAGAGCCTGTGGTTTATTGAAGAAGGTAATGTAACTTGCAAGGCTGGGTTTCTGCACAGCCAGAGGTGAGGAAAAGAGTTCAACCCTGGTTGTACCTTCAGTATTTCCTCCGGAGATTTATATAACAGGCTGGGCAAGAGCTTGGACTTCCCAGATGAGAGTGGGAATGCTCAGGCTCCACAAGTTGATGTGGTGTTGCCAGATTTGGTTGTTCCAGTCTGATTCTTGGATTTCCCTGTTCTCCCCTGCTGTGGGACCCCATCTGTATATGTTAGATTTACTGTTTACCACTGTCTTTCAAAAAGGGACACGAAAGAGACAGGCTGAAAGAATGTTTTGTGATTTCTACAATCTGTATTTTTTCGCCTGTTATGTACATAATCCAAAGGCTACAAATGGGAAGAGATGTATGATGTTATGAAGGTAAGCTCCCATTTATTTCCCAGGCTCCTTCCTGTAGTTCCCACTTCATCAGTGTCCCACAAACAAGTCCTGCAGGCTCACACTCTGTTTCATCCTTGGCTGGAACTTCAGAATCATATTCTAGATGGTACCTAACTCTTCCTTTGCTGAGAGCCTTCCCACAGCTGCACCTGTGGTGGCTGTTCCTTGTGCAGCTTTGAATTCGTGCTGACTCTCAGGGTGTTTCACAATTTGGCAATTTTGTTTTGCACCAAGGGCTGTACAGCAGCAGCATTATTGCTTTTTGTTCCATGTATTCCCTGAATTTCTCAGAGAAAATGTGTTGTGTATTGAACTGGCTGAAATAGGTCATTTCCTTTTCACAGAAAATCCTGTTCTGGGAAAATCTTTTCTTACTGTTTGAATGTAGGACTGTAGTCTTGAAAAAAAATATCTCACATGAGAGACATCATCCATATTTTCACTAAGGAAAACTGAACACAAGAATTAGTATTTCCAGGATGCATGTTGACTTTGGAGCATAGTATTGGAATTTGCTTCCAGGTTTTATGCCCTTGCCCAGATCCCAGGCCATGATAAAGAAGGTTTTTCTGGTATTAAGCTTCCCTTCATGTTTCTTTGTTAAATAGAATTTTCTTTGTGAGCACAACTGCTTCTCATAACAAGCACACCAGGATCTGAGTTATGGTTAAGACAGTTTTTACTTGATTGTACTAGCTGAAAATCAGGAGTGTTGCATCAGAATCATTTGGGAATTATTAAATATTGGCAAAACAAGGCCCTTTTCTGGAGCTCAGGCACCTCAGCTGTTTGTCCACACACTCAAGAGGTTCTCCATAGTGGAAACTCATGCAGTGAACAAAAAAGAGCAAGTATTTATGTAAAATTTACTATATACTTAAATGGTTATGCCCAGTTCATCCAAAGAAGAGACCAAGTAAACAAAGGGACCTCCTTTAAAAGGTAGATAAAGAGGCACCAATTTTCTCCATAATTTAACTGAGGAGGACACAGAACTGCTCCATCAAGGCAGTTTAACAAATCCTTCTTTTATCAGGATAAGAAGAGGGTTTTTTTCCATTCCAGTTACTGTATATGTTACAAGTTCTGTACAGACAGTTTGGGAAAAAGGAGTCTAAACATTTTTGTTTGAGTGTTACAGAGCTAGACTTTGAGTTCAAATTGTAAAGGGTGAAACATTAATTAAGTGCAGCACAATGAAAAACTATGTGAAACCTGAGAGATATTAATTACTTCTCCTTTTGTTGGTTTAGATGATAACTTCCTGGGTTTATTTTTATGACACTGGGAAAATATCACACAACTCTGTTTCTCTTTGATTCTTCAACTTTAAAGTTTCCCGAGCCAGCTCCATGGAGGGAGGAGAAAGCTTTTTTGTTGTTGCTGTTAAATACCTATTGTGAAGCTTTATTTAAAGAAGCCCTTTGTTTGCAGCTGTTCTTTAAATGTAAAATATGTAGAACTTAAAACATGATGCATCTTTAGAGGGATATGATTTGAAATGATGCAGTGTGCCTGTTCCAGTTTGACTGTTCTGTGGCCTGAGGAAGGAGGATGATTAAAGAAGTGGCATGAAGGGTTTTTGAGGAGCTGCAACAGCAGATAGAATGGAAAGCACACAGTGGTTTTGAGCTGTGTAAGCTTGGGGAGGAAAAAAAGGAATCTCCAAACACCCAAAGTTATAACTTAGTAGAATTCCCTTTGCTTCAGGAGTAGGGGTGATGAGCCAGGATTTGGTTGGCACAGGGTCATGATGTGCATGCTAATGGGGTTGGAGCTCTCTGTGGGATTCTGCAAAGAAGAAAGAAAGGGAAAATTGGGACCACCGTGCTCCTTGAGGTGCCAGAAGTGACACTGGGGTCTCTTCTTCCCCAACTGGCCTAAGGCTTTATGCTGTGATAGATTTAGGGAAATGAATGTAACTCCTGTGTTTGTACTTCTCCTGACATGGAGCTGCTTAAAATAATCACGGGTCTCAGGAAACCAAAGAGAGTCTGGCAGCTCAGAGTTATCTTCCAACTCGAGCGAAATGAGAGGGATCCTTGATTTGGGCTGGCTTGTGGAGTGCTTCTGGGGGATGAAATGGTTTCTCATTTTACAGCAACACAGAACCACTGGGGAGAGACAAATCAGTCCTGTCCTTCAGCAAACTGCTGTGTTTGATTTACTTCATTACAGACCAACAGTCCAAAACTTCATCTGACTAACAGAAATAATACTTATTGAATGTGTACTGAACATATGTTCAGTGCATATTGAATATGACACCATTGTTTCTGCATTCCTTGCTCCCAGACAAAGGATGAAATGTTTATCACTTGGGCTCATTTCAAGAAGTATGATCTATAGCTTCCAGACATAGAAGGACAGTTTCTTATGGCTGTGCTCCTCTAAGCCTCTAAGAGCAAGTGGTGTGTCTTTCAATGGTTTAGATCTTCACCTAATGTTTGTTACTCATCATTGTGTAGAGTTGCTCCCTTTCAAGCTTGTGTCTCACTTGAATGACTCCATTTTGGGTGCTGCTGTCTCATTTCTGGGCTGGCACCAACCCATGGTGGCCCCTGTGTTTTTGTGTCCCTGTGAGAACACGGTGCCACAAAAGGATTATTGATAATACCAGGATTCCATGCATTTTACAGGCTGTTTTACATTCTGGCACAAGGTCTCTTTGAAAAAGGCTCTGGTAAAATTCTGCTGAAAATAGAATGTAATATTTCCATAGGAGGAGGATGCACAGGAGTTGGCTGCACCTGAGATAACTTCATGTCTTCTCTCTCACCCTTGAGAGCACATAAAAGAAATTTGGTGCTGTTTTGGATGTTTGGGGTTTTTTAATGAAACTAGGAAATTCTCTTCAGATGAGTCTTTTTATTTTCTATTTTTTAGTTAATTTAGGTGTGCTTGTGCAAAGTGTAGCACAGGGGTATTTGTCTGTGTGGCTGAGCCACCCTCACACTGCAAAGCAGGCTTTGCAGGATGGATTCACTTCCAAGTGTATGTTCACTTCTGTAACAGAAATGGCATAAATTCTTGTCTAGGGAGAAAACCACAGCCATGACATCCTGCTCTGGAAGCCACAGTGGAATGTCACATCTCCTTTGGGAGAGGCAGAGGCAGCCTGAGAGCTGAGGTCTGTGCCACCAGTGCTGCCAAGCCTGACCTGCAAATGTGAATGCTCACTGTGCTCACCAGTCTCTGCTTTGGTTTTCCCCAGGAGCTCTGACTCTGAAGAAGCATTTGAGACCCCAGAGTCCACTACACCTGTCAAGGCACCACCTTCACCTCCACAGCCTCCCCCTGAAGCAGCAGCAGCAGCAGCAGCAGTTGTTGCAGACGTAGCAGAGCAAGAAATAAAACCTCAGCTGCCCGTGGAAGATACAGGTAATGAGTGGACATGTTACTGGGGGAGGTGAATATGCAGGGAGCTGGTTCTCTAAGCACTGGCAAGGAATTAATGCTAATAAATTTTCTCCTGGGATATTAGTTAATTACCCATGCAGAGAGGAAAAACTCCTGTTGCCTTCTGGAGTACAGTAATGGAGAATCTGTACATAACATTTGAAAAATACTAAAGAAAAGAGGAGCTCTCTAGAAAAAACTTTTGAACCAAACTTCTTTTTCTAGGATCTTTACAGAGTCAAATGAGTAGAAAAAAGAGATGTAAGTTGCAGATGCAGGTACCTGTGTGAGCACTGTTAACTATGACAATTAAAAAAATGCAACTTTCAAATGTGTTACTGAAATAGGACGTGGTCAAAAAGCCCTTTGGAACAGAAACGCTGATTTTATAGGAGGAGCACAGGGCTATGTATGTATGGTATACATATGTGAAAATTGGTACATAATGGTAAAATAAAATCTTTAAAAAGGGAGAATTGTGTTTAAAACCCAAAGAAATTCTTTCCCCCAAAAAGTGTTCTTTGTTATCCAGATTGAGTAATGGAATATGAGGGAGTAGAAAGCATGCTATTAGCCCAAAATAGCTTTGTTTGGGCTGTCAGATGACAGCTCAACAGCTTGAGACTGAATTCCCCATTATGCTGTCTTTTTTCCCTTGCAAAGCCAAGTCATCTTGATCACCTGGCTAAATTGTATGCAGATAATATTTCTCCCAGCATTCTAAAGTTCACTTGTATTGTGTTTGGAGAGAGTTGTAGCATCCCACCAAAGGTCTCAAGCCACCGACAGCATTTCTGGGAGTTACTCAAGAAATGCTGTAGAGGATTTTGATTTATGATAGGTTTTTAAGAAGCTTCAAGGATTTTCTACAAACAGATTTCACAAAATAAAAAGTAAATACTGAGGCACTCGTATGCTTTAACCTTTCTGCTGTTAGAGTTCCCTTATCACTGTAGCAAAAGTTACTAATTCTGCATCTTTTTTACTTTTTTTAAATCTTTGGCAATCCAATGATTACAAAGTAAGTGCTCAGAGAGCAAAAGAACACACATGCTGAACAGGTTTGGAGTGTGCTTTAAATTACTGCAGCAGATTATCTTCAAGCCCTTGGTTACACATGTGCTCCCCTGGCACATTGATTCTTGTCTCCTTCCATCCCAGTTCCCCCCTCCTTCTTTTTCAGATCTTTCTGAAGAAAAATGGGAAACTAAATATAGCTACTCACAACCAGTGTGAACTTTATTGAAGGCCATTGGATGGCAGAGGGGAAACCTCTTCATTTGCAAATCAGATTGTCCATGGGAAGCAAGTTACAGCTAAGTGACAGAGATCTGTTCAGTGATCCAAAATGATGCACAACACAGTTATACAACAGGGGAATTTATTGGAGGGGAATAAGATGCGTAATGCAGAAAAAATCCAAATGTAGGAGGGCAACACAAAGCGCTCATTTGTTTTGGAAATCTTTAGAAGAAATAAATAATAGTAAGGCTATAGTTTAGGTGTTTAGAAATGAGAAAAGTTAAACATTTTGTACTTTATAAACTGCTTGAGTGTCTTGTAGTTTATTTATTTCATAAGTTATGCATGTGTTGGCACACAAAGAGAATGAATCCCTTCCTCGGGGCTCAGAGGCGTTGAAGCAGAGTTCCTAGATGGCACCATACAGCTGAAAAACCAGGTTTCACTAGAGAAGGAGTGAGGAATATGGGCAGCTGGAGAGCCTGGCACAGGGAGAGGCAGCAGCGTCCTGCTGGGCTCCTGGTTCAGCAGCCACATGGCTTTGTCTTCACATGGGATGGGTGACAGAGCGTGTTTGGGTGGAAGGAGGGAGCACAGTAAGTGTTTATAGGATTCTTTCATCTCTAGCTGACAATAATTACTTATGCAGATGGCTGCAGTTGTGTTGCATGATATCATTAGCACAGCAGCTGGACCCCACTGCTGGAAAGGCAAGAGGAGAGTTTTTAATTAGGTTGACTTCAGTGGTGTCTCAGTAAATATGATGAAAGTGAACTGAGCTGGACTCGTGCTGGGTTTGTGCCAGCTCCTGGTGGGGTAAAACCTGCTGCATGGCTCTGGTCCATCAGCAGCAGAGCAGAGGAGGGGAGTCAGCCTGAGGGCAAGTCTGGAGGGGAAGAGGAGCAGCAGAGCAAGTATGGAAACTACCCCTGAGCCCCAGGAAGTGCCACCAATGAGCCCTTCCATTCCTCCCCTAAATAATTCTGGGAAACATGAGTTATCATCTCAAAGCAAATTGGAGCATTTGAGATTGCAGTTATTATTGTCATTATTTTAAATTATTGTTACTTGTCTCCTCAGCTTCCCATAACAGTGTCCTCTTGTCCCTTGTTTCATCCATCTGAGCACCAGAATGTCCCCCAAGCCCATTCTCCCAAATACTCTGGTTTTGGCCAGGAATTCCTGCTTAGGAGCTTTCTGTCATCCTTACTGCCTTCCCCAGATGATGACTGAATTCAGATTGTATTCATAGGGGAAAGTGAAGCTGGAGTCCCCTGTCTGCATTACAGCCCAACAATCAGGATATGGGGCACCTATATTTGAGTCCTTTTGATGCCAGGGAAATTCGAGGTCAGGCTTTCCAACAGAGACATTATAGTCCAGACAAAAACAAACTAAATTTTTGGTATGGACAGCATTCTTCTTCAGTGTTTTTTCCTCTTGAAGCCTGATATAGAAAATTTGAAAAGAAACTTTTATATACAATGTTAGAATGAATCTTAGAACAAATTACAAAAGTATTTTTACAGAACTTTAAAAAAGTGTTACTAATTGATTTTCTGACATCAAAGGGTTTCCATAACAAGAAGAAACTTGAAATTAACTGTGTTTCAAAATTTCTAGTGTAAGGCAATTCCAATTCCTATATGCTTTTGGCATTTTTTCCTTATTACATAGTAACTGGGTGCATGTTGTATGCATTTTCCAGAGGTTTGCCTTTGTTTGCTTTTTCTCTAGAAGACAGAACTGATACTCAATTTCTTCTATATTTTCTTATTACATCTGTTTAAATGTTATTGCTAAACCTGTCAGAAGAGTGTTTCATTTTGTTACCAGCTCAGCAGTGTTAAGGCCTATTTCCAGTTTATTGAGGTTCCCTCTGCTTTAGAGATGCTCCAGCAAAGTAGCCCCTTGCCTTGTCTACTTCTGGAAAAAAGCAAAAGAAATTTGTTTTGTTTATTAATGCACACATTCTTACAATATTTTATTTATGTTCTCAAGCACAGAGTGGTATTTTTGTGTCTGTCCTGTGCGGAGCCAGGAGTTGGGCTTTAGTGATCTTTGCGTGTTCCTTGCAATTCAGGATATTCTGTGATTCAGTGATTTTCTAGAAACTTCTGGTTCTTCCATAGCAGGTGCCAGGTGAAAATACCAAGTGTTAAATATGCCACGTAACTCTAATATTTATGTCTCATCACCTGGATAGAAGAAGTCTGAGTTTTATGTTGTTGAGTTTGGGTTTGGGAATTTTTTCATAGTTGATCCAGTCAAAATTTGGCTGAAATCAGAGGAATTTCCCAGTGGAAGGAGCAGAACTTGGACCTTGTTTTTTAATTAATGAAACTGGGGGTTTGAGGAGCTTGCCTGTCTTTTTATTGCGGTGTAAGTTCCTCAGCTATTTCTTGGAGTGCTTTATAAAACTTAATATCTTCTTGTGGGTAGCTATTACCAGCATAAATTGTGGGTGACTCAGTGCCAACAAAAGGCATAAACCTGATTTAAAATGTTGTGCTGGTCTCTCTCTCTAGGGCAAGTAAATCCTGCCTTAAACCCCATAGCTGGTGTTGTAGTATGTTCCTTTGTGATCAAACTGCATTTTAATAGAATACTGTAGTGATACTGGGTGGCTTAATTTTGTGCTGTAAAAGGACAAATGTCGCTGCTCTCTGAATAGGCTGTTAATGTCAGGAACGTTTGGTCTTCATGACTCTGTGTAGTAATAACTCCTTGAGTACCATTTACACCTCCTGCTCCAGCAATTCTGCTGCTACAGGACTGAGCCAGTCCTGTCGTAAAGCCAGAAGAGGCTGACAGCAGCATTTCTCTTCTGCCAAGAGCCGTGTTTGCTGAGACAGTTTCACATCTTGTTTCATAAAGAAACAATAAAAATATTGAGCAGCGCTCTGCAGAAATCTGTACTCTTGATTAGAAAGGATTTGATGAGGAGGAAGTCATGAAATAAGCAGTTAAAGAAGATTAAAGCCTTGCACTGTGTGGAGCACACAGAATTGCAATGCTGCTTTGTGGGGAGTAGCTGCAAAGCCTTGCTCGCTCCCTTTGCGTGGTGCATCCCAAACCTCAGCCTCTTGTTTACAGTCCAAGTCCTGCAGGGCAATGGTTTATTTTATTTTATTTTACTTTGTTTTAATGCATGCTTATAACTGCTTTGAACAAGAGCCTCGATGCTGTTGAGGGCTTTGAGGTAGGCTGGAATGAAAACAGTGCATAACTGCAGATGATTCCTTGTTAGATCCCACTTTGATTTCATGCTGACCTATATTTGTACTCCACTGGCATCCCAGTGTTTATTGTGATGTATTTCCCTGAAGTGCCTTCCATTCTCCTTTCAGGGTGAAGGGGACAGATTAGGCTAATGCTGGAGGTCTGTGTTGCTCTCTGAGTGCCCTTTAGCAGGAGTCCCATCAGTGTCACCAAGTGATGTGAGTGAAGTGAGCACCAGCCTAATTAATGACCTCTCAGCCAGGCTGAAACCAAGCCCAAACCAGTGGGGATTAAGGAGAAAAATAAACTGTTCTGAAGTACTGCCACGCTATTAGCATTCATTTAGCAGAAAAAGCACATTAGAATATTATTTTAATTGATGTATCCTAGTGAACTTACACAGTCTTAAAAGAGAAACTGCACAGCTGTCATCCCTTTGACAGTCTCTGCAAGTACATGGTGCCACTTTGGGAAATGTGTCCAATTCCCTTAAATCCTTTTCTGTGCTCTACACCCATAAATAATAATCCTTGCAGTCTCTGTGCAGACACACAATTTCTTCTGAAACAAAGGAAAATTTTTTTCCCTTCTCTCAATCCATTCATAACTTCTCACTAAAATAATAATTGATTGTCTGTACTGCTTTTATGAACAGTGTTAATGAATGTAGCAGGGCAAAACGAGAGTTATTCTGCAAAACATGTCAGGATTGGAATGAAAAGGATGAGCAGAAATGTCTCTGAAATCGTTCAGGGCTGAGCAAAACATTCATTTTTGTTTGACTATTTTTCTTTATAATTGCATAATTAAAAGAAGATGACAATGTGAAGAAGGCTGTGCTGCTTCAACAGGAAACACAGGGGCATTTTGCTCCTCTGTGAGAGCTGTGAGAGCTGGCTCAGCCCAGCCTGAACTGGGAGCTGGAGAGAGCTGTCCCAGCTCTGGGACACCCCACAGGGACACACAGGGACAGAGGTGGCCGTGGTACATTCAGGTCGGAGTAGTACAGTCACAGCAGGAGCAAACCATATGCAGGATTTGTAAAACATTTGCATAATCAACTTAATGAGCTGGAAGGTAGCAAGGACCATCACCTTCATGCTTTTCTACCTCTCTATTTTCTGATTTTTTGTTACTCATTCTTTTTCTACTTTGTCCAATCGTTGTTATATCCCAAGTGAAGCAACGTCTGTAAGTAATTTTTAGAATTCTATTCAATACAAAAACCTTTAATTGCAGTGGAAAGCTGCTTGGATTAAGAGTTTTAACATAAATCTCTCTAGAAAATTTTCTTCTCATCAGCAAGTTAGAACTACACTTGGAAAAACCTGGTTTAAATAATCAGTAGGGAGCTTCTAGCTTTTTAAAGGAAGATTTTTCAACTGAAAATGTTTGTGGACTTCTCTAAATGACCTTTTTTTTTTTTACCTTTACCATAATTTATTTCATATTAAGATCCAAATTATTGATGTCTTATTATAAACTTGTTATTATTGACTGCTTGGGGCAGATAGAGAAGCAGCATTGATGGTTGTGGAGAGGAAGCCATTTTCCTCTGGGTAAAGTGGTAAAAATAGCACATGGGAAATAAAACTTAAGGTCAACATGTAGTTACTGAAACACCAGTCAATTTACAGAAGATTTACTTCATAAGAGCTATGACACAATTGTGTGAACTCTCCATAGTAGTAGAAAATGGGAGTAAAAAAGTGCTTTATGTGCAGTTTTTCTGGTATTTGCAATATTTCGTGTATTTGCAATATTTCTGGTATTTGCAATATAAGTGATAGTTTAGAAGAGGTGCTTTAGAGGCTCTTGCAAATGCATATTTTGTCTTTTTGTGAAACTTGCCTTGAATCTTGCTCTGAGGAGAACAGATCTGGTTTTCCTCCTAATCTGGTTCATATATTGGAAAAGTCACTTTGGTTTGCTTAGTCAATTTGTATGATTTTAATGCCTTTTTCTTTTACTTGCAATGACATTAGATTATAATAAAACCTTCTAAAGCCCAGTTCTAAAAACGAGTGCGCTGACTTTTCTGTTTGCTCCCTCAGGACTGTGTTCAGAAGCTGAACCCGTAACCGATGTGTCACACAGTGAGCCAGTTCAGGAGAGCCCCTTCCGTCCCCCTTGCCATTCTTTCTCCACTGTCTTCGACGAGGACAAGCCCATAGCCAGCAGTGGAACCTACAACTTGGACTTTGATAACATTGAGCTGGTCGATTCTCTCCATGCCTTAGGACCGAGCTCTGCAGAGCCCAAGAATCGTGACCCCAAAGCAAATGTCCGGAGAAAATCCACGGATTCGGTCCCAGTTTCCAAATCCACGTTGTCTCGGTCTCTCAGCCTGCAGGCCAGTGATTTTGATGGAGCATCTTACCTTGGCAACAGTGAGACATTAGCACCATCAGCAGATGTGTACGGTACTGGTTCCAGCAGCGCTTCCAGTACCCTCAAGAGAACAAAAAAACCCAGACCAGCTTCCTTAAAAAAGAAGCAGTCGGCCAAAAAACCTCTGGATGCTCCACTGGTGAAGGAAACCCCACAAGAACCGCCTGAGCTCGGCCAAGCAGCTTGTGAGGACAAAGCACCTGAGGTGAAGGCTGACTCAGCAAAGCCCGAATGTACTGAACCTTCCAAAATCTCTGCTGAGAAAGAGGAGGCCCCGCCTGTGCCTGAAGGATCCGAGCCTTCGGATCCGGACAGTTTCGAAGGGATTAGTGCATTTAGCTCCGGAGGCAGCAAAGTGCAGAACTCTCCCCCTGCCAGCAGGAAAACGCTACCTCTCACCACGGCCCCCGAGGCTCTGGAGGTGACTCCGCCGGACACCGGGGGACAGGAGGACCCTCCCGTCAAAGCGGTGAGGCTGGAGTTTGATTATTCTGAGGAGAAAGGGGGGAGTGAAGACCAGCAGGAGAGCGCTCCTCCTCCCAAAAAAGCAGGGAAAAAGCCTGGTGCTAAAATGCCGCTACGGAGGCCAAAGACTAAAAAAGCGGTGGAGAAGCTTGACAATGCTCCAACCACCCCGACCAAGTCGCCCACTGATCCAAACGAAATCCCCATCACGAAAGGCTCTTACACTTTTGATATCGACAAGTGGGACGATCCCAATTTTAACCCCTTCTCATCCAGTACAAAAATGCAGGAATCGCCCAAACTGCCTCAACAAACGTACAGCTTCGAGCCGGACATGTGTGAGGACTCCATTGACCCTTTCAAGTCTTCTTCTAAGCTAGCCAGCTCGCCTTCCAAATCTCCAGCTTCCTTTGAGATACCAGCCAGTGCCAACGAAACGAACGGAACGGAAGGAGACAGCCTGAACAAACCTGCCAAGAAGAAGAAGACACCACTAAAAACGTAAGTTAAAGGGCAGAGACGTTTCTAGGATAGAAGCAGCACATCCCTTAGCAAAGTTACACAGGATTTATAGCTGCACAGAAAGAGGGAGGTGATGTTGGGTGTTGGTGACCACAACTGGAGTCACACTGGAGGGCTGTTCCCGCTCTCAACCTGTTTCCTCAATAATTTGATATTTCCAGAACTGCCAAGCCACATTAGGCAACTGCATTTTTCAAGTCTTTGGGCTCAGCATAGTTCTGAACCTGGTTAAATTGTAATTTTATCAGTTATGTACCCAATTTTCTGTGACCTCCTTCTGGGAAGTTGATGCTGTTTAAGATAATCAAAGTAATTACACCAGCACAACTATTTAATGAATCATTGTTTTTGAGCGTGGGATGTGAAATAGTGACAGTGAAAGGCAGTGACAAATCCCGTATTGCAATCAGCAGGAAGATGGTTTCATCCTGTGATTTATGGTATTTAAAAGAAAAAAACCTGGAACAGAAGAAAGCAGCATTGAAATTCATTTTTTTAATATATACACATGACTAAGAAATGTAAGAAAACCCCTTTTTATGAAAAAGCTTACAATTATGCATAAAGTTTAAAATATCCAAAACTTCTATATGTTAGGGAAATATCCAGCTTTTAGACATGGGTGACAAATTCCAGGATAAATTTTCTATGTTGCTGTTAGGTATTTGGTTAAAAACTTCTATGGCTAGTTGCTGATTTGCATGTTGCTTTATCTGTTCAGATATGGTTGAGTTAATGGCCACTAAGTTTGTGTCCCATGTATCTGAAATTGATCTCCTGTGTGTATATCAGTAAGAAAGTATCTCAATTCATGTTCCTTTATGGTTTAAATGTTCCAGCTGACTAACAAAAATGGGAGCAAATTTTTTAAATGCCAATTTAAGAGAAGAAGATATCATGGTTAATGTAAAGCAGTATAAAAGCTGATACAGGGTACAGGGTGAGATGGAGATTATTCAGATTCTTCTCTACAGGGTGAGATTATTCAGATTTTTCTGAATAGCCTCTGCCTTCTAAGCTTCTAATTCAAGTCCTTTGTCAGATTTGAGGAAGCTTGTGTCTTTATTTTAGTTCTAGGGGCGTTTCTGACTTATGGATACTTTAGACCACTGTGTTGTTGAGTTGTTTTCTTTGGGAGAGAAGCCCATTTTTTCTGGTGTTGCTACTTTTTGAGGTTTACCTGAAACTTAGTGGTAAATGACACATTTTTCCAAGCCTGCAGTCCGAACTGATTTGGTGCAAACCAAGAAGATTTAAAAGTCAGACAGCAAGACAGGAACAATTTGAATCTTACTGGGGAAGTGCAGAGGGAAATTTTAATATCAGCAGATCTTTAAGGTTTTGCAGCCAGGCAGAGTCTCCTTGTGTCTTCCAGTAGCTGGAGTTGCCAGACCCCCAGAGTGGCCTCTTGGGTTCTCCCATCTGCTTTGAATATCAGAAAGAATTCCAAAGTTACTAATTTAGGGGGGAAATGAGTTTACAGAGAGTTTGCTAAGCCACATTTGTCCTTGAAAAAATCCATCACAGGAAAACCCTGACTTGGAATCACAAAGTTCAGTGCTGGTGTTTATCTTGGTGGGGAGGTGAAGCTCCCCCAGCTCAGCGCTCACAAGCTCAGGGGTCAGGAGGGCTGCAGGAATTCCCAGCCCGTGCTTGGCACTGCTTTCACTGGGTTGTGTTGTCTGTTGCTCGCTGCAGCCCCATAACCTACTTTTGCAAGTGGTGCTTTTTTTCACAAAGATGAGACTCTGCATATTAATAACCCATTGCAGCCTGCAGCTGTGGTGCTTTCTAGAAGAAAATTACCTTAAGGCTTGAGAGGGGATGCCAGTGGCAGGAGGTTTTGTTAGCCCTGTTGAGGGGTACAGAAATCAAACCCTATGAACCAGTTTGAAAATGAGTTCCTCATGTGGAAAGGCAGTGATTTCTAGATGACAGGGGAAGAAGCCAGGTATGAGTTTACACCAATGCTGAGCTTGTACTACTTTGAATATGAGCCATGTGCTCAGTCTAACGTGTGTTAAATCAATAAAAATAAGCCATTTTTGTTCTTGAATGAAACTGCAAGAATCAAAGCATTGTGAAAAGATGAGGTTTTTACAAGAGATGTGAGCTCGACACAAATCATTCTCTGCTCATCTCCCCCAGTGCTGAGCTGCTTGGAGACAATCACACTGCTCAGGTGATGCTGAGCAAAGAGCAGCTGATGCCTCCCAGAGCCAGCTCACAGTGATGAGTAAAAATAAGTGGTTTGTAGCGATCCTGCTTGTGCAGGCATTGCTCTGGAAGGCCTTGGATGGCTGGAGGCTGTTTGAAATGGAAGGTGCCAGCTGTCATGAGCATTGCACGTCAGGAGAGATCAGCAGAAGCTGCCAAGCTTACAAGTAAATGAAAACTTCTCTTAGTTTAAGCTGTTTGGCAAGGTTTGGTTCTGCTTTGGGGGAAATCAGTTTGCTCTGTTAGAACACCAGGTTAGGTTTTGGAGAGAACCAAACCAGCTGAGATTGAAAGAAATGTCATTTTGTATCCTGACCTGGGTAAATGGTTTGAAATGGTCAAGTAGCTTTTTCTGTGCTGTCACAACACATCAGCAAACATGACAAAATCTGGAATAACTGTGCCCTCTCCTTAAGCTTAGCTGCCATTCAGGACAGTTTTGCATCTCATAAAATAACAAATGCTGTGTTCTGAAAAGCAATCAGGTAGCCTCCATCAGGGAAGGCAAGGACAGTTAGTGTGTTGAAAGGAAATTAACTTGAAGGTGTCAGCTTTGAAAAATGTGTTTTGTAAGATGAAAGCGTTTTAAAAGTATAACATTGAACTAGAAAACATTGAAGGACTTGATGAATATTTTTTTTCCTTGTGTATTTCACAATAAAAAGTAAGAGTTAAGATTATACAGGTAGAAAATCTGCATGATCAGATTGCCTTAACACATTAACATTAACAGAGTATTTGTAGGTTAATCTTTTTTGTCAGTTCCTTCTGTCTGTCTCTCTTTTCTTTGTCTTATTTGTCTTAGGATGGTAGAAGATGTGATGTCTGTATGTTCTCTGTTGTAAGTAATTCTAAGCTAACAATTCAAATTTCCTCTTTGATTTATGGGCTTTTTAATTTTACTTATTTATTTTGCAGCATGATCAGTTATTATTCAGCATGAAGCTTTTATGTTAGTGATTTCACTTCACTTGCACATATGAAAGCTATTTTAAGTAAGATGCCTGACTGTGATTGAGTTTGCCTCATTATCTGTTGCCTACTAAAGAAGATCCTCATTTAAAAACTATAGAAATTTTGTATCATTGAGCTGTCATAAAATATGACAGTTTTATTTCTACCACTAAACAACATTGTACAATCAATTCTTTGTAAATACTGCATAAAACGCTTGTCTTTCTTGAAGGAAAAAGTTATCCTAATTAATTCTGTCATCATAACTGGATAATTAATGACATTGAACACACCAATATTCAGCTGCCCAATTTATTTTCCCCTCTAGATGTGGTATTGATTTGCCCTCTGCCAATGGAAACCCACCATTAGAATTTCTGGTGTCAACCTTGCCATCATTGATCAGGGATGAGCTGGTGGGCAGTAATTTTCGCCACTGCATCTCTGTTCAAACATAAAGTCTTCATCAGTGAGTTGGCCAGGGTGTTTTTCTCCCTTTTGTAGCTGGTAACATCAATGGATTGAATAACTCTGGCAATGTACATCAAGAGAAGAGACAGATAATTAGTCTATTCCTGATTAGAAACTTAAGCCAATTTTTAGCCAATAGTGAATAAAGGCAACATTCATAATTACACACCATCATGACATAATGTTTGTTCTTCATGCCTTTTGCTTAATTGAAACCTGTGGGATTTTGGAGGGCTACAGTGTCTGTGCTCCCAGTCTGCACTGTGAGGTGTCAGGGGAACTGGAAGCAGAATTGCCATATTTCCTGTTGTATTTGTTTTTAAAAAGGTCTGTTGTGCCCATTTGTAATGACACAACTCATTCTAGCATCTGGGCAACAGCATCTGCTTCAGATGGTTTTATATAGCTCATCTAAAGCAAACCAGGTTTTTTCTTCCTGGTTTTTGGGGTCATTGGAGCCTAAATTTATCACAGTTTTAATTCTCAGGTAAAGGTGTGGGTTAGACCTAATTTTGGGATGTGAAATTGAAGCAGACAGAAGCTGAATCATTTCCACAGGGCCCTGGAGGGTGCCTGTGGTGGAGCAGGGATTTGAAATGCAGCTGAATTTGAATTGCACTCTGTTCTGTGAATGTGTCAGGAGCTAGCATGAAAAATATGGCAATCCTGCTGTTCTCAGCTTTGGAGGGATCGAGGCCTGTTCCAAGTGCATGACAAAAATATGTACCCATGGCATGTTTCTCTGTGGTGCTGCTTCCTAATGGATGGGATTTTAATGCAGAAGGGCTTGCAGAGGTTGCATTGTCTGTGACTGTCTCTTGCTAAGTGTGAAATGACCTGATTCTTGCTGCTGTTACCATTTTAACAGTTTGAACTTTATTTTCAGTGATACATTTAGGGTGAAAAAATCACCAAAAAGATCCCCACTATCAGATCCTCCTTCTCAGGTAAAGTGCTGCCTTATTTTAATGCATGTAATTCCTGTCCTTGAAGGGGTAAAAAGAAGAACATTTTATTAATTTAATTGGAATTGTATGTTTAATAACAGAAGATATTTTTGTTGTAGACTTGTACATCAATAATAGAGGAGATTTTTGTAAAGAATATATATATATGTCCAAGTATAGCACATTGGGCTATTACCATAAAGCATTACCCTTTTGTCCTCTAAAAGTGTTTACACAATATATAGTAGATCTAGTATTTTCTCTGGGAATTCCAGCTAGAATATTAGCTAATGTACTTTGGAAAGAAGTGTCTTAAGATGGAGCAAGAATAGGAGTAAATATTCAGTCAGTTGTCTGAAAAACAAGACTATCACTATCCACCCTGGAATTTTTAGATTAGGAAGTAAGAAACTAAATGCACCAAATTGGTGGGCTGGAAGGGAAATAGAAATAAACCAAGTGGGTTGATCTACCAGGAGCACATGCTTGGATAGTTTGATTCCATGTTGGAAACTGCTGGCAGGTGGTTTTCTTGGAAGAGAAGTTAACAAAAGCTGCTCTTCCACAAAGGCCTGACTGCTTTGATGTGGCACAGCTCCTTCCAGGCTGCTGCTTCTCTTCCTGTTATCCATCCTGCTTTTTTATTTGTGCAGCTTGACAGGGTAGAAGTGAGGAGAAGGGAAAGGGTTCATGGCCTCGTGGACCTACAAGGGTTTGCTCCTATGAGGGAAGCCTGAAAAGTCAGATTTGGTAGTCAGAGACTTCAGTGATGGGTGATGTGTGCCACTTGTGTCAAGTGCCTAACAGATTTTAACAGCTCTGGATATTCTTTCTTCCCTGTTATCAAAGCAGCTTTGCAATGCAAGTGTTTATCATCAAAGAGCTTAGTTATACTGGGAAAACTTGCTGCTGGTAGAGTTAGCATTTCCCATTAAGTATTTTATACAGCACTGCAGCAGAGATTACAGAATTAAAGAGATGGCTCTGGCGGTCCAAGGGAATTCAGAGATGGAGCTGTTCCATGTGTTAGTGAATGATAATGGAATTAACCAGCTCTTGTTTGCTGCAGGATCCTACTCCACTGCCAACTCCAGAAACGCCTCCTGTCATCTCCACGGTGGTGCACGCCACGGATGAGGAGAAGCTGGCGTCCTCCGTGACGGGTCAGAAGTGGACCTGCATGACTGTGGACCTGAACACGGACAAGCAGGACTACCCACAGCCCTCTGACCTGTCCACCTTCGTCAACGAGACCAAGTTCAGCTCTCCCACAGAGGGTACTGCTCCAGCCAGGGGTTTGCTGAGAGAGGGGGATTGGTTTGGCCAAGGATTTGGTTTGGTCTGTGCGCTGCTGAATGCACACTCTTAATAGGGAATCCTGAAAATGCTCTCTGGGCCGTTCTGGGGAGCTGAATGTAAGACCCCAACAGTCCAGCCTTGAGTTTTCAGGAAAGAAAAGATGCTTAAAAGGAAATGAGAGGGCCCTTCAGAGAAAGGCTTTGCTTCCTTTGTGTGATTACTTGTTCTTCTCTGTGGAGCAGTGTGTTCTCTCGGTGCCTTCACAGGAGAATAGAGTCTGATATTGCTGCAGAGTCACTGAACTACTGATTCTGCCTGAGCCTATTCCTTAACCTGCATGGGAAAAGCTCCCGTGCTCAAATTTTCTGTACTTCATTAATACCCATACCATGCCATCCCTCTTCTAGCTTCCTGGGCTCCAAGTACCTTCATGCATGAAAATGTCCATGATATCCCCTGTTTAAGATAGTTACCATTCATATTTCCAGACAAAAATCCCTACTAGATCAACTATAAATGTTTTTCCTGCCATACTTTCCTATGAGCAGCTGGGAGCTAAAGCTAGAAGTTTCTGTTTAGAGAACTGTCATTCCAGGTCTGTGAAATTTGGAAGACACAGAATGAAGAAAATTTGTGTGTGGCCTTCCTTGGGGCTACCAGAGGGAATTCTGCTTTGCAACATCTGCTCCAAAGGCAGATGTTCAGCTTTGTGGGTGGGAAGCATGTTAGAGTTTAACTTGGCTTAAGCTTTTTCTTCTTGATTAGAATTCATTTTTTCCCCCCAGCCTTTCAGTCCCTGTCCCAGTCTACAATTAATATATTTTATACCATTTTAAGCAGTGTCTAAATTTATGCCTGATTAAAAACTTTTAGATCAAAAAGTTGACAAAAAAAGTTGATGTCAAAAAGTTTGATAATCACAGTGCTTTTGTTGATACTCATGTGCTTGTGTGCCCTGGGCTTTTTGGAAATCTGTTGAGGATTCTAAACAGATAAATATTTCAGTCTGGATGAATCCATTTGGCTTCATTGTCAAATCAAAAATTTTAGACATTGACTTCCCTGTATTTAAAAAAAATATCTTAAAGAAACACTTTTTAGAAAAGAAGCCCCTCTGAATCTGAGAGAATGGAAACTATATGGAAGAAAATGGAACAAAAGAATAGTGAGAGACCCTCTGAAACAATCATTTTAGCTTTCAAAGTGGGTAGAAGAAAGTGATCAAAGCTCCTAATTAAATGATAATTGTGTTGTCTCATGTGTGCTACATGAACAGTCGGGGTTTCAGATTACACACTCATTATAATCAACAATGCTTCTGCTTTTCATATCTCTTAAAAATAATATTTTTCCCCTTGACAGTCTTGCTCCTGCAGCTTTGAGAAATTTCTGAGTAATTTGAGGGCCGTTTCTCAGTGTAGATATTTTTACCTGTCCCAGACACCCATGTGTTGCCCTGTAACCTAACACTGCTTCTGTACAGATACAGCCCAGCTCCTGAGCCAGCCAGTGCATCCAGCCCTCATCTGTCTCAGACACTGCCTGTAGCTGCTGCCATTTTCCTCTTGCACAGACTCCAAATAAGCTGTAATTATTAGCAGAAAATTCTGATGTAATCTTGCAGCTATTTGTAGGAGGAGTTGGAGGACATCACTTAGTAAGTCTGTTATATGTGTTTATAAAAGATAATTATCTTGCTTATTGGGATATCCTGGGCTTTTCTGATTTTGAATATATAGAGATAAGTAGAGCCTAAGATTTTGAGGGGAGATGATGTCTGAGAGGAGAGGAGGGAGAGGAATTGTGCTGGAGACTCCTGAGAGCAGCGAGACGAAACAAACTGCGCTTAGCCAGCCGCGTTATTCCTTTTGTTTCTACTTGGACTATTTCCATCTGTGTCCTGCCTTTTCATTTTTGTCGGCAGTGAAGTTAAATGTGTGTTGTCCCAGCAGTCAGTTTGGATTGGGATTGCAGAGCTGCTGGCAGGTGGAGGATCCCTGTGGCTGTGCCAGCAGAGGACAGTGCCTGAACGTCTGCTGCCCCCAGGCTGCCCGGACACTCAGGAGTTTCTCTCTGCAGCATAAAGATGTCCATAAATGCTGCTGATGCACCTCACTGGGCTCTCTGTGGATACATGGCACTCTGAGAGGCAGTTTCTAAACACTTGCTGCTGTTTCCTGGGATTTCAGGCTTTCTCCTGCAGTTCAGCTCCTCATGGGGGTTTGAATTAATCCTTCCAGTTTGGGTTTTGCTTTCACTGGGGAGAAAAGTGATTGAGAAAGGCTGTTGCTGGTATCTGACACCAGGAGGTTGTCCATCTTGCCTGGCTCCTATTACCATTAAAAACAGGGTGCTAGGAGTTTCAGTGTGAGGAGCCTGCTATTACAGCTTTTTCTTCACTTAAAAGTTTTATTGTGACTATCCCAAACCAATACTGAGGGTTTATGGCTCCTCCTCTTCAGTGGTTGCTTGACAAAATACATAGCTTGAGGAATTACAGTCCTTGTGCAGTGCTTTTTATTACTAAAAAAAAAAAAAACAAGCATTGTCAGATCACATTGAACCCTCAAAATTTCTGAATCAACAAATCAGGCTAGACATTTTCTTCTGGGTTGTTTGTTGTTAAACATCAGAATTTTAATGGTGGCTATCATCTTCCTAATGCAACTCCTACTTTTCAAAAGCTGCCCAAATCTAGAAGGATTTTAGCACAGGATTTTATAATGATGCAAATGCTAGTGTGCATTTCCTTAGGATTTATTTATAGTGGAAATCAAATTATGCAAGTGGTTTATTGAATTAAGTCATGGAAACAGAACAAATTACAGCATTTGGACAAATTAATTATGCTTTTAATTTTAAATTAAGTTGTCATTATAGGAAGTTTGCTTTTATTGAGTGCAGGAAGGTATGATCTCTTCTCCTGTGTTAGATCTCTCTGCTTCTGTATCAACTACTGGGTGACCATGGACTGGAAAGAAATGCTGCTTATTCCCTCCAGTGTAACTGAGGGATTAGAAGCAGAGAAGCAATAAAGATTTGCATTTTTATTAAGTTTTAGACTTAGGGTTCTTTGTAAATCTTCCTGCCTTAGTCTCTTTCTCTGAAAACAAAATGTGAGAACAGCCCCATAAGCTGGGCTGATGCCTCACCCCTGGCTCATGAGCATTCAGGTAATTTAGATATCTTTTTCTCCAGTGATAGCACGGTAGTTGTTCTGAATTAAGAGTGTGATAAACATGTAAAAATAAGAATTCATTTTTCTCAACAGCTGTTAAAAGCTGTTTAAAAGAAATTGGCATCAGCATTGCCATTTATTGAAAAAATGTGTTTTCTGTGATAACATGATAGGGGAAAGTTGTCTGTAGTCTGAAATCACTCTGAAACCTTCTTAATATTCTGGTCCCTGGGGCAAATTAAAAGACTGAATTTTTTTCTGGCAAGCTGATTTGCCTGAAATGTGTCAGGTTCATTGTTGAAAATGAGTGAATATTAACTCACCCTTTACTTTCTCTCTGTATAATCTATTTTTAATATGTCATTGGAAGGTATTGAGCAGAGTGGGAGTGGCCCTTGTCAATGAGAAGAGCTCTCATTTACTTCTGAAAAAAAATCATGTCATGACATGTATTAACACCTCTTTTTTTGATTCTGTTGCAGAATTGGAATATGGCAACTCATACGAAATAGAATATATGGAGAAAATAGGCTCCTCTGTGCCTGTAAGTTCTCACCTCTTTTTCCATTCATTTGCATTCCCTTGTCATAATATACTATCCTGGTAATGCCCTCAGCCTCACTACCCTTTAAATTAATTATAATATGCCTGCAGCAGATTTGCAAAACCAGTTCCTTGAAATTGGCATAACTGGGCTAAATTGCCTGTGCTTTGTTGTCCTGTATCCTGTAAAGCTTGTTCCATTTTATGATTCCATTTCTAAGCTAGCATCACAGCAGTTCTTTTGGAGGCTCAAAGCCAATCAATATTTCCAGCAGTGCAGAGTGCAGAGCTGTCTACACCAACTGCTGAACTATTTAAGAAAGTGGGAGTAAAAGTTTGGAGGAGCTGGAGGGAATCAGGAGAGAAATAGAATTAGTGTGAAGTCTGGAGTGCAGCACTGTACATTATCATTTACTTGTTTCACCTTTTTTTTAATTATGGATTTGATAGCTTGACTGGATCCAGTGAGGGGATATCCACTGGGGACATTAGGAAAAATCACTCAGGTGATGCTTAAAGCAATGAGAATATTCAGTGGATATTTTAGTAACACCCTCAGCCAAGGGATGTCTGATAGATTTCTTGCCACACAGAACCAGAAATCTGATTAACCCCAAATTGGGAGAAGAGCCACTGCAAAGAGTGAACTGTTTAGGTTTTGTTCTTTCATGGTTTCTTCCTGGGAGGATCCATCTCAGTATCAGCATTACAACCCTCTATTATTAGTTTTCTGTCAACCCATTTGCTCACTAAAGGCTTCAGTGACCTGAATTAGCTTTAATAGAGAATGCTTGAATTGCTTAATGAGTTTCTCTTTCCCTGTGGCCAGCAGGATGACAGCACCCCGAAGAAGCAGTCCTTGTACCTAATGTTTGATGCACAGCAGGAGAGCCCAGTGAAATCACCTCCCATCAGGCTGTCTGACTCCACCACCCCCTGCTCAGGGTAGGTCACTGTGAGCAGTGCAGAGCCTGTCAGGGGAGTGGGTTCCCCTCAGAGCACGTACACAGGAACTTCTTCCTCTCTCTGCCTCTGTGCTGCCAAGTTATTTGTTTAAAAATAGATTCCCATCTGTGTACACATATGATAGAGAACAGAGGGCAAAGAGACATAAGTTTCATGATGGAATAAGGACATGTATTTCTCCTTCACATTCTAATAGTCACAGTGACAACTGTTTTAGTGGACAGTGGCCTCCTACTTAAAGCTTTTTCCTCAGATACTCAGGTAATTTTCACATTAATCTAGAAATCTGTTAATTGCAGTATTTCACTTGGCTTTCCCTGGATACATTTTTTGAACAAGGACTCTTGTTCATAAGACCAGGATGTGGGAGTTGTGTTTACTTCCAATCATTTGCTTGTCAGGGACATCTGTTCTTGTTAGTACTGAGTTGTGTTTTGGGAGAGAGGCAGGTCACAGTGAGAAAGGGATAAAAAGACAAGTGAGAAATACTGAAGAAATGTGACATTTCTGATGGGACTGGTTTTATTTTATCTCCAGTGCATTGTTCTGATATTGCAAAGTGCTAAAAGATATAGTGATATATTTTTATACATACACATACACATGAAAGTGATGAGGTGGACTTGCTCAGCTGTTACCAGAAGCCTGAAAACATGTACACAATCTTTTTCCAGATCAAGTTTTGAAGACCCTGAAGCCCAGCAGTCCTCTGGCATGAAAATACCACACCCAGCTTCCCGAGTGCTCGCTACCAGCCAAGAGGCACATTTACAGTCCCCTGACAAGGCCAAGCAGAAGGACCTGGAGCCCATGACTCTAGGAACAACTCCAGAGGCTATTGAAATCGTGAGTCCTGTATGATGAGAGTTTGGGAATCATTTTCCTCCATAAATCTTGCATTTTGCTTTTGGGCCAAACAACTTGGGCAAAATCTGTTGCTTATTCAGCCTCCTCTTTACCCTTCAGACATCTCCTGAAGACTCCTTTGTCTCTGCTGATGCTCTTCTCAATAGGATATCTAAGAAAGCCTCAATATGTGATCAGCCTGAATATCTAGATCCTGACCTAGCAGAAAAGAACCCCCCAGTATTTGCTCAGAAACTTCAGGTTTGTAGCAGAAATATAAATGTCACTTTGCTTTCTGTTTGTCCATACACAGGCCAAAGAATGCTTTGCCTCATTGAAAGGGGTGGAGGGAGGCTTGGAGAGGATGTGGAAAAGAATTAAAATAATTATTTAATTCTTTCCAAAGTAACTCTCCCCTTTCAAAGACTTGAGGAACAAAGATACTTTCATTTAACTCACGTAATTAATGTAATACATAACCTTACATTTCATCAGCACCTGTCCTGTACTTCTAATGTAGGTATTTTCCAGAAGTCTTTTCAAAGCAAATTTTTTTAAGCTTGAGCACAGGACTTGATGTATGGAGAGTTGTCTTGAGTGGCCTTAGTAAGTCTGTATGTATAGATTCATTTTTTGAGATTCAGGACCTAATTCTGCTGAAATGAAAATCAGGCTTTGTTTTTCTTGTAATTTCTCTAATGCAGAATTTGGCATGGTTTCTTCTAGGAAAAGCAAATGGATCTGAATGTCAGGATGTATCTTCTGGAATATTTACAGTGAAATTTTAAAACAGCAAAGGTTGAACTGAGACGAGCATGTGGCATAAATTCACATAAAATGGAAATGAAAGGAGTCTCTGATAGAACAGCTTTAGCTTCAGAAAACATTTGTTTTACATGAAGTATTGCTCATACTGATCACCCAATAAAAATTATTTTTCTGTACAGCTGTGTCAAAACTAACCAAGCCCTGGAGTTTTGCATCACTGTCCTCACCATGAGAGGAATTCGGGGTGTTTGTCACCCAGGAATTGTCCGAGTTACACGTTAAAATTTAACAACCCATTTTTGAGTGTGCCAAACATTTCTTACCATGTTCTTACTACATTTTTCTCCCTGTGGGGGACCCTCCCCCTACCAAACCCTTGGACAGGAGGAGCTAGAGTTTGCTGCCATGAGGATAGAAGCTCTGAAGTTAGCCAGGCAGATTGCCCTCTCCTCCCTGCGCTCCAAGGTACCTGCTTTGTGCCTGCCCTGTGTGTGTGAGTGCTGCTTGTCCTGGGGGGACACAGGAGCATGCTGGCAGCAGAGCTGACACAGAAATGCTCTCACCCCACTCACACCCCAATTAACAGCAGGCAAGAAGCAGCAGCAGCATTCCTTCCACAGGAGATGGATTCTGCAGTCCAGGTGGCGTTTGTTGTTTCTCTGAAGCAAGATTTGTCCTAAAACCTTTGATGGTGAAGAGCACCAGGGCTGATTTGGCCATAAGGACATTCTGTCTTCTGCTGGTGTTTTCAGCCTGAAGCCAGACACCTTTGACCCTCAGTGTTTGGAAGTGAGGAAATCAGTCGACCTTGCCCTCAGGCATCTGAAGGAAGGGAGTGCAGCAGGGTTGGAAGGGCTACAGAGCTCCCAAGGAAAAAAAGCCTCACAGCAAAATGTGTCTTTATTCATACATCTTACTTTTTTCATTGCTACTTCCAGGTCCTGCTGGCTAGTTGTGCCTCACAGTGATGGTTTGCTCTGCTGTAGGGATGCACGTGGAACTCACAGTGTTTGGAAAGGCAAAAAAGTCATTCCATAAATGTTAGTGGCATTTTTGGGAAAGGGTATCAGCTACATGGGATTCTGAGGGGATGGCAGTGTCCTGCTGCAGTGAGACGTTTCATTACAAATGAGGAGAGTGTGCTTCTGACATATCCTTCTCCAGTGATCTGCTTCTTGTACTGTCTGTCAATATGTCAGCAGAAAATCCTAATTTTTGCGCAAATCCTAATTTGCCCAATCCTAAATTGTCTGGAGTTCATTGCATCACAACAGCATTTGGGCTGGTTTCAGGGTAGAATTTCTTGGTGCTTTAAGATTAAAGTATTAAGCTACTATTAGTAGCTATTATTTAGTAGCTACTTTGTAAAAGTAAAGATTTTTTTAAGGATAACTATACTCCTCTGAAAAAAACAGTGATCATATTTGATTTATTTCACATACCTTAAATAGCCCACAAGCCACCTTGTTTCTGCTTTGCACATATATTTACTAAGGTAAACACATGCCTCACAGATTTAAGAATATTTTAAAGTATGTGGTTACAGTCTTTTATTTAATTAAGAAAAACATGCTGTTGTCTTCATTAGAATGACTAACCAAGCTGAAACCTCTTATGAACATAAAGAACAAAGGAGGAAAAACAAAAATAATTTTCCTATATGTGACTGTGTCCCCTTGCTCTGCTGCCCTGAGTGTCAGGTGTTAGAAGAGAATGAGGAGATCCTCTCTAGATCCTCTCTACCTCCTTATTCTCTCTCAAATTCCTTGTCCTCCCAACACTTTGCTGGAACATGCAGGATTCAGGCCCTCCAGCATCAGGAAACACCTGAGATGAAACACATAATATTGCATAGATGCTCTTCATGGATTATACAGAAAACTTGTGCTTAAAGCCTGCATTTTTGCAACCAGCCAACTGTTCAGAAACTCTCAAATTATACTATTTTAGACTGAAGAGAATGCATTTGTGTGTTTGTGAATACTTGTGAGTTACCCAGGGGAGATTGTGAGGTGCAGAGGTTTTACAGAATGTGGGGGTTACTTCTAAAATATGCTGTTCAGCATCATTACAGCATCTTGGTGTTTTGGAACAAGTTTTGAGCTCCTTAGAACTTATAAATGAGGAATGGATTTCATGTGACTTTTGAGACAATATCATTAATCTGTGTAACAAAGACAACAAAATTATAAGCAAGAGGTGAGGAGAGAAAACAGGCAAAACAGAGAACTAACAGCAGTTATTGATGATGACAAAGCCCCATGTTGGTCCAGGCACAGCAATGCTTGTAGACCAACACTGTGGGTGTCATGTTAGGCTGGGAAGGACTTTTGTCCTTGCATAGCTCTGCTGTTTCAGTGTTAAATTAGCCTATGATGACACCCCTTGTGACCTACAGTGACTGGTGGCCTGGATTAAGTAGAACAGAAACCAGCACATGACTGCAGTGACTTAAATTTGGATGCTCCTGGCAGAATTCCCTTCTGGATGGCTGGCCTCTTATTTTCTGGATGCTGTATAATTACATTTAACATTTGCTAAATGGTGACTGAATGGGTAACAAAAATAGGATGATAAATAAAGACAGAAGCACTTGTTATGACAAATTAGATCACCTAAAATAAAGATTAAATATAAGCACTTTCTGCTAGCACTAGGAGTGAGAATAAGGATGCAGTTTGTTGTTCTCAGGCATTTGGGAGTTATTTGGCTACTCCCAAATTTCTTTTCTCAGACTTAAACTACAGCAGGACCAGTCACCTACTTTTACATTGCCAGGCATTTCTGTCTTCCAGTGTTGAGGTGAATTAACCCTTTTCTGTTGAACAGAAAAGTCTCCATTTGGGTGTTGTGAGGTAATTTTTTAGCAGGTGCAGCTTGAGGAGGGTTTATGTCAGCTCTCTGTGGGTTCTGAGGTGATGGAGAGTGGGATACTGAGATGGGATCCAAGGAAAATAGAAACTGAAAAAGAAAAGGCATGGGCAAAAATGGGATTAGTGCATTACAGCTTTGTGGGCTTCTCATGGTAGTGGAGGAGGATTATTTCCTTCAAAAGCAATGCCATTGATTTTAGCAAAACTTTTCCAGGCAGAAAACTTCTGCTTGGGCTTTCCTTGCCTTTCCACATATTTGCAAGCACAAGTAGGTCTCACTTTGCCTGCATTGACCTGTCTGCTCACACATCAATTCGAAGAGTCCATCATTCCAGGCAGCATTCCAAGGGCTTGGAAAGGGCAGCCTCATTTCCAGCAGGGCTAAACATACATTCCTCTAATTGCTGTGATAAAAACTAGTTTTCATTTTCATTCCATTTCTCTATTTTCTTCCTCTGTGACCTCCTGGAAGTGAGGTAACTGCAGCTGGTTAATAGATGTGCATTTGTTTCCCTTCTGGTCAGGTATCTGGTTTCTGTGAAAGGTGCTGGGGATAGAAGTGTGTTGAGCTCTCAGATATTTACACTAAGATTGCAGTGACCTACATTTTTGTAGTAATTCCCCTGAAGACTCTAATCTTTTTGTGCAAGGTTTAGTGACTTACAAATCCCTGTGATGATTATTACCCCAATTAACTGCTTACCTTCTCAGCAATTAGGTGTTAAAGCATTATTATTAGGTTATTTTGAGTAATACCATCATCCTGTTGGTCAGGTGCTGTTATTTTCTCAGGGTAGGAATATTTTGCAGTCAGCAAATAACAGTTACTGAGTTACATGCATCAGTTAAGAGCTGTGTAAAATTGGCTTTTGAAGTAAAACCATGATGACTTTTACTGGTTTCTCCTGCCAGAGAGCCAGTGCAGGGTGTTTACAGAGTTAGGGCAAAACTGGTTGGGCCACTACCACAGGCATTTCTGATCAGTGGTTATATTCCAAGAGTTTTAATGGTTGTTTTTGGAAATTTTAAGCTGTTCTGCATGTCATTATTGCTATTGTTTTGTACAATTTCCTCAAATGTAAAGAGAGCTAGAAAAAACATAACTGTATTAATGATCTGTTGTGCACTATATAAAAATACCCACAAGTACATAGTGCATGCTTTAAATATTTTTCTTTTAAAATTGTCATCCTCCCAGCAGTTACTTCGACGTGTTTTTATATGAGCTTGAAAAGCATTTGTGTTTCTCCTTGGCACAATGAATATTTTCCAGCAATCTCTTTATGAGATCCAGCAAATTAAGCTGCAGGAAGCTTTTGAAATGTGACAGATGCAGTTCAACAAATCGATCTGAGCTTTCTTTGGAGGACAGCTTTGATGATCTAATGGCTCTCTTCTCTCTCAGTTATTCCTACCTTAAGGAGAGAGTAAAGTATTTTTAGGGATTTTATTTTTGGTATTTATGCATTTACAGAGGTGTCTGAGCTTGTATCCCAGGGGTATTTTTTTTCCTGTGTAGTTGTTTTACATTGGGAGATACTTTTAAGAGCACAGGCTATGCAGTTTTGACAGCTCTTGGAATGGTTTTTCTTCTGAGTTTGAGTTTGCACCTCCTAATTCTGCTGGAATTGATCATTATTTTGGGTGTTCGTGTTAAAGGTAGCAAAAACAGAGAAAGGACAACCTGCTCCATAAATCCTAGAAGAGTTAATTGACTCCCAGGTGTAAAAACAAAAAATACCAAGCAAATTAATGAGAGTCTCCTGTAAATGAAGATGCAGTGAGGTGTTCTGTAAATACTGTTTAGGTTATTCTTGTTCTAATTAAATTTTCTTGCCTAGTCTTTTAATGTTGTTAGTGTTTCTTCATGTTCTTTACAGATGTGATATCCAGAACATCTGGTCTTGTGTGCATTGTGTACAATTTTTAATGCAGCTTCTTCAGTCAGGTGTGATACAAGAACTCACAAGGGATTACAACAAAATTAACAGTGGGCTTGGATGCTTTCTGTGATGCTGGGCAGTGTGAGAAGAACTGTGAGGAAGTGAATGTTTTATGGAATAGAATCTGGCAAAATTTCCTTTACCAGTGTTGAGACAAGAATATGTGATGTTGGAATTAATGAGGACTGAACCTTGATCCAGACATTGTCTACTCCTTTCACATTCCTGTACTTCAGTCACTAAACCGTGACTCTGCAATTTTCTTTTTAAAAATACAAACAAAACAACTAAAGCAAAATCATACCACCCTCTTTTACAATAAAAACAAGAAAATAATTATTTTCTCTTTTATGTAAAAAAAATAATTGAAGTACTCGATTGCTAGTCTTAATTATTGCAGATAAAGCAGTCTGGGACAGTGGAAGGTGTCACAGTGGAAGAGTGGCACTGGATAGGATTTAAGGTCTCTTCCTTCCCAAACCATTCTGGGTTCTATGGACTATCCTTTATAATCTCCTCAGTTTTAATGTGCTGTAGCTTGGGTTGTTTGTGAGACATCTCCTGCATCTCAGTGTCACGTTCCTCTTCTTTGCTCTCCTCATTTCACATGCTGCTCTCCCTTATTTAATCTGGGCTGCTGACATGAGCAAAATTGACAGCTGCAAAAAAAGCCTCATTTAACTGACTAATCGCATGCTGGACACCAGTGGGGCAGCAGTGCCACCTGCATAGTCACACTTCTTATGTGGCATTTTTTATGAGAGATACCATGTATTGACAGGCCAGACCTAAGAAAATGAGCTGTCCTCTTGCTTCTGGTTTCTTGAGTTATTTTTATGGAAACAGAATTCCCCTTAACAAGCTTTCTGCCTTCAAATCGGATTCCTCCTGCTGGTGTGCATTTCTTGTGGATGTTGTGGTGAAAAGCAGTACATTTTCTAAGATAATACCTTAAAATATTGATGGCAAATTGCTGTCTTTATTTTCTCTCTGTAAAGGTAATATGACTCTCCTGGCGCTGCTTATGGATCTTTAAATGTATATTTTATCATTGCTTAATTCAGAGTTCCTTGTCTGTGTTGTAATTTAGAGGTGCACAGAACTCTAGCCCTAGCACCACACCCAGAAAACCCATGAGCTAAGCACCTATTTAATGGTTTGTTTCTTTGTGTTTAAAAAAACAAACACACAGAGAGAACCTGCTATCCCAGCAGATGTTTCCATCTCCAAAAGTGCTCTGTACTCCCGCATCGGTACCTCGGATGCAGAAAGCACCACGGCTCTGCTCTACCCCCAGCAGGACCTGGACTCTGCACTACGCCTGGCCAGAGCAGAGGTAACTGTTCCCACAGTTTGGGGAAGGAAAAACCTGCCCCTTGTTGTTCCCTTCTTGCCTGTTTTCTCCCGAATGTTTTATGTTGTGATCACTTGTTCTGTTCTTGGAACCATCCTCAGCCACGCTAAAGCAAAAGTTGTTACACTTCAAGTTTTACTTGTTTTACAGATGTGAAAAGTAGATGTGATATGAAAATAAATCTTTTATGTTTTTAAACCTGTTGTACACTGTGCATCCTGACATTGCTATATAATTATATAAAAATGGTAAGCTGCTTGAAATAGGAATAAGATTATGTCTTTTACAAAGCTGTGTATCATATTAGTGTGGCTTGCAATAGCAATGAAAAAATGGGTATAATAATCCAGTGGTGTTTTTTCCCTTTGTTTTCTATTTCAGATTGTGGCCAAGGAAAGGGAAGTATCTGAGTGGAAAGAGAAATATGAAGAAAGCAGAAGGGAAGTGATGGAAATGAGGTAGGTTATTAAATTGGTCACTCTGTCAGAGAGTCTGATGTCAGCCTGTGGATAGTACACAGAGTACCAGGCTCATACAATTGTTTTGCTTAGCTGAATTTGACTCATTATTTTTAACTTAAGGCTTTGCACTGATCCTGAACTGATACTTTGTCTTTTCTCTGTATTGTGGGCACCACTGTTCAGGGTAATCATTGCAAACTCCTGTGTTGCTAATCTCATTTATTTATACTGAGATAGGGAGTTTTACTCCAGGTTAATGTCAGGGGAGGATTTCCTGTGGTTTGTGTGTGAATTCTCACTAGGATTGCATAGTGAGGTTCCTGTTTCAGACTGGATGCATTGCCTGCAGAGCTGACAGGAGGGTGCACATTAAAGGCACATTAAATTCACTCTCCATAAGTAGTTCTGCTTGGAAAAAGGAAGGAATGTAGAGAAGAAGATGCAGGTGTGCACTAGTACAGGCTGCCTCCAGGACATCATTGTAAGGTTATTTAGTAATAGAAATCAAGCCAGTGTCAGTAGAAAAGCATTTCTTGTAAAGGAACCATTCTGGACTATAAATGTTGGCTTTTAGGGAGATTCTACACCCTTTTCTTTGAACTAGGATTTTTTTTAATTACTGCACACACTAAGGTTGATTTTAGTTAAGCAATAGTTCTCTTGGCTTCTGCTCTCTTGTTCCCTTTGAGAGCTGACAGAAGGACCTGGAGCTTTTCAGTTTGTTTTGGTTGTATCTATTGTATTTCTGTGTCACCCTGCCTCTGTTACATTAAATATCTGTACACTGGAACATGGTTTGACCTTCCTTTCCAGCCTAGGTCCTACCACTTGTAAGGATGACAGCAAAATCCCTATAGTGGATGGTGTGAGCAGTGCTGCTCAAAGAAGCACTGATGCCTCCCATTCAGTCAGTTGAAAGGCAATGAGTTTGGCTAGTTCATTGATCTGAATCTGAGTAAGCCATCAATTGCAAAAGATTGTATAAAATACACTCTCTTTAGAGAGTCTTTAAAGCTTATTATTTTCTACCTTCAAAAACCAGAAAAAATGGTCTTCCCCTCTTAACTCATAAAGAAAGGAAAACTGTCACATTATTTTAGCATCCCTCCTTTAAGTAATAATTTATACAATCGCTTCCGATACTGAATTTTATTTAAAATCCTCTCTGTTCTAGCACCAGCTTCTTCCCAAAATGAAGAGTTTCAGTGATTTAAAGCTAAACTCTGTCTCTAGTGATGACCTACATAAGCTATTGCCTATATCCAGGGAAACTGTGCTTAGGGAGGGAGAATAGAAGGGAGCTGCAGTGCCGAGCTCCACAAACGCTTGCATGGGTGCCAGGAATTGCACATGGCAGATTGGAATAGCGGCAGCACAGGGCTCTGAGCCAAAGCATCTTAAGAGAAGCATCTGCAAAAGGCAAGGGCAGCCTCTTTATTCCTTTTTTGCCACCTCCCAGGGCCCAGCTGAGTTCTCTCACCTCCCTTGTGCTCTGTTGGGACAGGGAACAAAGCCCTGGCATAGCCCTGAAATGCTTAATGAGGAGAAGCAGAACGGAGTGGCTGCGAGCAGTCAAACCCAGGGAGCAAAAGGAGGAGGGAACAAAATGAGGGATTGTGAGGAATGTGTCAGTGTGCAGCTCACACTCAAGTGTGGTGCTTGGTCTGTTCTGTGTTGGGGTGCACGTGTCTGCTGGCTGCCAGTGGGCACTGCCAGGTTTTCCCTCATGGAAGGAGAGCCAGGGCTGACACAGAGCAGCTGGCACACTGTAGTTCTGTACCTTCATCTTCCACACAGTAATTTGCTTGTGTGTGTCTCCACCCTCCAGAAAGTCTGATTTGCAAAAAAAAAAACCAAAAAAAACCACAATAACTAAGCCAGATTTCCCACAGTCACATGCCTGGAACGCGTGGATGAAAGGAAAAAATCTGGCTAATATTGTCACAAAATGATAAACACGCATATGTGCACCAAGAAAGATTTCTCTTGGAAGTTTAAATGCTCAAGCAGTCCATGTGTGGTAAATTAGAGAAGCAGCAATGAGATATGACATAATGATAAGCAGGGAGTGAAGGGATTATTTAGAGTTGCAAGCACAAAAGCAATCACTTCCCAGAGAAGGAGAAGCAATGCTCCTGTACCCATACCCTGCATATTGTAGCTGGAATGTCCTGAATTCATCTAAATTTCCAGCAAAATATCAGTTGGAGGAAATTCCACTCCAGAGAACAGAAGCCAGAGGTTTAATAATGTAGTAGTTATCAAAGAGCTGAACCATAATCCAAGAATCTAACCAGATGCAGGCAAGAAATATTTAATTGTGGTTATTTGGAGGTCTGATTGGTTATGACTCTGTAAGGGAAGTCAAGCAGGTGACCTCTGAGACCCTTTGTAGCCCTGGATTCTGATGGTTTTATGCCTTACAAATGTGCAGTCAGTGGTAATTTAAGCCTATGTAATGTGTCAGCCTGGGGTTAAGATGTGCCCTCCCAAAGAGGGATGAGGTAGCAGCATCCTTTGGTTCCCCAGCTGTAACAACCATTTTTTAGGCTGCTTGACTGAAAGAGGCCTTTGACAAGAATCTGGAGCAAATCCTTCCCTGGGAAGTGCTGCAGTGTTGTGATGTTGTGTTCCTTACCCTGAGTACCCCGAGTCCTTGGCTTCCTCTTCTTGGATGATAAAACTTCCCAAAGGTGCCTTGTGGCACAAGGACATGACAAAGCTTTAAAATCCTCATTGCTTACAGCAGGCTGTTGAGGTAATCTGCTTTGGACATGAAACCAAACCCTTCCCTTTAGGGCAAAATACTTGCTGTTACCTTTGCTCTCCAAAGTGTCACTTATGGTTGAAAGGAAAAATCCCAGTGCTTGGTGTGAGAGCCCCTGTTCTTTGAGTGCTCTGCAGGACCAGGACAAGGGAGATGCTGCTGACCTTAGGCCTGGTGGCCTTCTCAGGGCTCTGGGCTCTGTCTGTGACTCAGATTTGAGGCAGTTCTGGAGTTACTGTAGCTGTTATTTAGGAGCTCTGCAAATTTCTCCTTTCCTGAGTTTTATTCCCACATCCTTTCTGTAACTTCACCAACTGCAGCAGAGCTCTAGAAGCCAGTGAAAGTGAGTTTCAAAAGAGGTGTATTCCAACTCCAGTGAGCTGTTTTGAATATCCACCAGAGTAAGTGTGGGGTAATTTTGGTTTTTGTAGACGGTCCTGCGTGGCTCATGAATCAAAGCACAGATCAAGCTAGTCTCATTTCATTAGCTTTATTTGGCTCTGGGAAGGGATGGATCATCTTTCTAAATCACATTTAATCTGCTTATTTTGGCTAACCTCTTTTCAAGAAGGAAATTCAAAGCCTACCGTGAGTATACGAAATAAAACAGTCTTAAAAGTAGAATTTTGCCACCTCTGCTTCAAAAACAGATTTGGGAAATGGGACATGATGGATTTTGTGCTACATAGTTGAATATTTTGATCTTGTTCTTTTAAGTGGTAGTGAATCATTTAATCATGAGAAGATTCATTTAGAAGATGAGATACATTTTGGATGATAGCCAACACTACTCCTGTTAGGTTTACTTGCTACCAATTATAAGCTTCCTTGATGTTTATATTAAAAACAAACCAGCACAAATTTGGAGAAGAGGGGAGAAAGTAATGGAAAAATCAGGCTCTTTGTAATTCTTGAGTTAGGCCAGTGTGATTATGTTTATAATCATGACGTGTGATGTTTCAAAAAACAGAATCTGTTTCAAAGCACTCTTCTTCCTCCCCTCACCTTTATTGATTTCCATGGAGAGTTAAAAATCAGGTGCAGTGTTAAAATTGTCAGTTTTATTTGTTATTTGGGCAATAAAGAACATACAAAAGTGTGATGGGGTTCTGTATCTCTTAAAAGCACCACAGTTCAGTTTCTGCTAGTGTTATTTGCTAAGTAAGCATGAGCAATGATGTTGTTTGCCAAAAGTTTTTCTGTTTTTGTTTTCCCCTCTTACAGAAAAATAGTTTCGGAATATGAGAAGACGATTGCTCAGATGATAGGTAGGTGTTCCTGCTGTGAAAGATGCTCCCTGGCTGAAGTCTGTGGGCTTCATTTTGATGCTGGCTGCATCTGCTGATGCTGCAGGGAATTGTGAATGCATCTGAGGACACCAGAAAAGGAAAAGTCAGGGCCTGGTCTCACAGGCAGCAGCCCCCGGGCAGTTCAGGTAACACAGAAAGCTCATGGGTTTCTCCAGGAGAGACTTTCAGTGACCTAAAAACCCCTTAGGCATCAGCTTGCAGCTGCTTAATGGCAGATACCAAACTTAGCTCTTCACAACAACAGGGATTATCTGTGCTAAATACATCGATCAGAACAAAACCGAGATTAACTCCAATCCCAGCTGGGAGGTTACAAATGCCCAATCCACCCCCCCAGTTACTTACTGACACAGGGGTCTCCTTTCAAGTCTAAATTGTGACAAGTTTTGCCTCTCAGTAATTAGAAAACACCTTTGCTAACAGCATGTCCCACAGATAAAAACCCATATGCTCAGTAGCACTTCAAACCCAAAGGTTGCAGGGCTTTTGCGGTTCTAGCCCCTGGGATATGATTTTAAAGCCTCCTGTAAGATTCCTAAAGCTCCTTTTAATAGTCTGACTGTAGAAAGAACCAATAGCTTGTGCTGCCTTGTACTGCTTCAGCTCCAGCTGTTTCCCAGAAAGGCAAATGGCTGAGTGGAATTTTGGGATCTCCAAGGCCAGAGTTGCTCAGAGGAGCAACCGGTGTCTGGATTTCTTGGCCACTGGGAAACATCCCAGCCTTCTTTCAAGTGAAGGGTAAAATGGACCTACAAATAAATTTTACGAGAGTGACAACTATAATAAATAAAGTAATTAATGAAATATATATATAATACTTAATAATAAACACTAATAATATGCCAGGCTTCATTCTCTCTGGTGTTATGCCTGCACTGTCTTTTGTATGTACAAATGAGCCAATGTGCTGCCTTCTGACGTGGTGTCTGTCCTTGTCATCATGCAAGTGTTCAAGCAGGAGTGACCAGAGTATGCAGAGAGCTTATTTCATTTTGGTTTACAGTAAACATACCCTGGTGTGGCTTCCACCCTGAACCTGGCCAGTCCTACAGACACACTTGTCCTTTTTTCCCCAAGCTATGCATAAAGTTAACAACAGATAAATTTGAATTCTATTTTGAGAAACATTAAAAAAAAAAAAAAAAAAAAAAAAAACAGATTTTGAGACTGCAATGGAACAGTAAGATACAGAATGGGAATCCTGAGGCAGAGTACATGACCCTTGCCACTTCCTCTTGTTGCAAAGAAATGAAGGTTCAGTAAGTATAGAGCCACTGACTATGAGTAAATAGATCTTTAAACTTCAGATTCAGAGTATCAGAGCCTCTCAGATGCTCTGTGGTGAGTTTTTAAGGGCTGTGGCTATAACTAATTTAATTTGCTGTCCATTTGCAAAGGAGCTGAACCAACAACAGCAAAACAGAGAACATCCTTTCTGTGTTAATTAAAGCAGTATGCAAATTCTGCAGCATGGTAATACGTTAAATGTGAGGCTTCTCCCTGCATTTAATGTAAATTTTTAATCTAATTGTCCCACTTTGTCATGCCATTTCTTGTAAATTGCTGTTCCTTCTGATAAAGGAATTTGCTCATCCGAATGCCACATGTGGAGGGAAATGTGTCTTTGTTATTTGCATGTACTTCAGTGACCTGCTATCCCAGTAATGCCTCAGTGCTGAAGCAGAATATGCATCTTAACAAAAGAAATGCCTGTGCTGTTTCTGTGCATCATTTAACCCTTCTGAACTATTTATACAGCCCTGTTAGAAGGGCAGTGCACATAAACCAATTTCAGCAGTCCCTTTGATGAATATTCAGGGAAGTTGATAGGTCCTGCTGAGCTTTTTGTAGGCTGGTGTGTGCATAATGGATACTGAAAACATCCCATATTAACAATATATGACTGCCTATGTTTGCTTCTAAAGGCACTGAAAAATGTGCATTGCAAACAGCAATTGCCTTTGATTCCAAGGGCTGTGGAGGGTTCAGTATTTGCTGTCATACGTATATGGAACCCAAAATTACCCAGCTTAGCTGCTGTGATTACTGCATGCCACACTGTGCAAGCTGCCAGTGTGGAGATCCCTGTTTAGTGTCACTCGGCCTGTTTTTTGACTCGTGCTTTATATTTTTTTCCTTTTTTTTTTCTTACACTTGCCTCAACCCCTAACAATTTCTCCTTAAACCCCTCAACCACTTGCCTCGAGCCCTAAGAATTAATTCTTAGTTACACTGAGGAGTGGGAGAGAGGAAAGACCAGGCTTTCCAGGCAGTGCTGCTCTTTGTGCTTGGTGCCCACGTTTGCTCTTGACAGCCAGGGAGCAGAGCCTGAGTGACCCCAGTGTTCCCTGCACACACCTGGCTCACAGCCAAAATCCTCACCCCAATTCCTTCTCACTGACAGCTTTCTAATGTTGATTTGTTGGGGGTTTTTTCCCTGTTAAAAATGTATCCTTATTTTTACATTCAAATACATTATGAGATTTAAGATATTTACAGGATGAGATTTTTTATTATTTTACATTTGAATACATTATGAGATTCTCCTTGTGAAGAACAAACAGATGTTATGCTTTGTGCATTACAGGTTGTTGCATTACTTATTTGCTGCTTTCCTAACAATTCCTGATTTTTCTATTTTGCTTCCGTTTTCGTTGCTTCTTGCTATTTGCTTGCAAAAACAAAACAGGCAAGCCTGGTAAGTAAAGCTTTTCACCAACTTTCACACCAGCATTTTGCATCTTTAGTTTCTTTTGCTTTTGTTCTCTGTTTGTTGCATTCCCATTAAGTTGTGTGAGTAGTGGTGAGCTGAGCCTGAAAGCGGATCTGCCCTGGTGCTGCTCTGATTCTGTCAAGTTGGATAGTGTTAGTCCTGAGCATACTGCTGTGATTGTTGGTGAGCCCTGGGCAGGGTGTGCTGCAGATGTGGAAGTCATTTAATTCAAATATTTTGATCACATAACATTATAAATGTATTTAGAATTAAGAATGTGTAAGCTTATCTAAGAATTGACTGGCAGACTATTATCAGCACATTTTATTGAAACCAAATCATGGTCTTAGAAAATAGAAGGTCCTTCCCAACCCAAACCATTCTGTGATTTTATGAAAATATCACATAAAACTCTAGTCCTCTTCTAGCCAAGTTTCTGCCTTTTGTTGTATTTAAGCACTTTGATTTGGGAGCATCACTTGGATGAGCCTTGGAGCAGCCTGGTCTAGTGGGAGGTGTCCCTGTCCATGGCAGGGGGGTGGAAATAAATGAGTTTTAAGGTACCTTCCAACCCAAACCATTCTGTGATTCTGTAGCATTTGCCCCAGTTTCCCATGAGTGACTTTAAATGGTGCTGGGGGTTGAGTGTTGGAGGAGCTGATCCAGCTGAGCAGAGAGGAGGGACCACGATGTGCTGGGAGGAAGAGGATGAGCTCAGTAGTTGTGAGGGAGTGTGACATGAATTATTAACTTCCTGATCACCCTGGAAACAAGTAAGAAACTTGCTAAAATACCTCAGACAACAGTCTGACAAAAAGTAGGGATGTGACATTAAAATGAAAATATTTTGGATGAGGATGCAAATGGATCTCTTACCCTGCCTGGAGCTGCAGTGACAGAAGTGTTGCCAGAGAACAGGATCCTGCCAGGAAAGGGTTTGGAATTATCTAGGCAGGGTGTAATCTCCAGCATGATTAAACAAATCTAGTGCTGGAACACAAGGAGACAGCCTCTGAGGTTTAGAAAAATAAACAAAAGACAACAAATGTTTTTTGTTTTAATTGAGAACACATTAATTTTGACATTACAGAGGAATACAGGGTGTCTCTAAGAAAGCAAAACAGGAAAGAATGTTTATTTTTAATAAAGCATTAAATATATCCAAGTGATGTTGTATTACAGAGCTCTGGGCTTCTCTGCCATGTCAAAGGTGTTTGTTCACCAGTAAAATAAAGGTGTTACAAGCAAGTCATGAGAACTTCCCTGGTTCTTTTCATCTTCTGTATCACACAGAGCAAAATAAGCTCAGGTCAGGCTCTGCCCCAGCCAGGTGCTGATGTACAACATGCTATCATCTCTGCTCTAGCCTTGGTCAGCCAACAAAAATGTGTTTTTTTGGATGGAATATGCAAAAGGAAGAGATGAATCTCAGTTTGGTCACTTCGGAGCTGACCAGCACTATAAATAATTCAGATTACATCGTCTATTCGAATAAAAACCCCAAACTTGTTTAGTTCTTTATGTTTCCAAATATAAAGGCCCAAATGAAAAGTTGTACATTGTGAAACGCCCCAAGCTTTTTCCACAGGAGAACTTTTTACCTTATTTTAGTTTCTATCATAAACCAAGGAAAATGGTAATATAAAACTGCTGTGTTTTGTGGGTGGGTTTTCCTTTCAGTATCATTCAAAGTAAGTAACCCTTAAAACACAGGCACAAGAATCATAGTTTAGGATGTGAAGTGCAGCATTTTGGAAGACAATGCCAGACCTTTTCTTCCAGTGTTATGTGGATATTCCAACTTGAAAATTCCTCTTCCATATGGATTTGTATTGTTACGTTCTTCCCACCGTCCCTGGCTCAAATTTAACTGTACACAGGAGGAGCTTGGCAGATGTTTTTTGCAGTTTTTTTACACTTAGGAAGTCTGTCTACTGTTAGATTTCCTTTCTGCCACTTGCTCCAACAGTCCTGAGAGCTGGTAAAACACTGCTTTTCCAAGGGAAGAATTGAATTCCACTGCACAAAGTGCCTTGTTTGTGCAGGATTAGAGGTGCCAGGAGATGAAAGACATTTATCAACAATGGCAAATAACTTGTGGCCAGTGCTGGGAATGTGCATAAATGTCCTTCAGCTAGTGCATCTTCAGGCAAAGAGGGGAAATCCAACACCTGCCTTTTCATGGGAACAGCCGAGTTCAGAGTGAAGAAACCATCAGTAGAGAGATACATTCACATTTTCCCCCAACATCAAAATATTTCAATGTCACTGTATTTAGCAACTGTTCTCCTAAACGGGCTTGTGTCTTTGTATAAATCTGACTTTTCTGGATCCTGTAAACTTATTAATGCACAAACAGGGCAGAGTGTAGAAAATGCAGATGATAGTGAAATCAGTGGAGTTACTCCTGTTAACCCTTCTGAAACCTCTCTTTTCTCTACCCCTCTCTTCTTTCAGAGGATGAACAGAGAGAGAAATCTGTCTCCCACCACACTGTTCAGCAGCTCATAGTGGAGAAGGAGCAAGCTCTGGCCGATCTGAACTCAGTGGAGAAATCCCTGGCAGATCTTTTCAGGAGATACGAGAAGATGAAAGAAGTCCTGGAGGGATTTCGGAAGGTGAGTCACCTTAACATCTCCATTAAAGAGCAGAGCTGAGCAGATTCTGTGGACCAGAATGTGCTGTGCTGCTGAACAGAAGGCAGGGCTTGTGTTTCCAGCTAATTCTGATGTTCTGCATGACAAACCATAGTCTTCAGGTGAAGGAATGCAGCAAGCTATCAAGTGCAAACAGAAAAACTGTAAATCTCTTTGCATCGTGCAATATTCTCTTGCAGGGGGTGTCAGTGTTGGACTGCAGCCCTTCAAACAGCTGTGTGTGACTCCCACAAACAGGTGCCCGTCCTGCATTTTAACGTCTTGGATTAAACTTGGTGTCATTTTCTCTTTTAAGAATGAAGAAGTGTTGAAGAAATGCGCGCAGGAATATTTGTCACGAGTGAAGAAGGAGGAGCAGAGGTATCAGGCACTCAAAATTCATGCTGAGGAAAAACTGGACAGGTAATTGAGTCATGGATTCACAGAATGGTTTGGGTTGGAAGGGATTCTAAAACCATCTTGTTCCACCCCCTGCCATAGGCAAGGCCGCCTTCCACTATGTCAGGTTGCCCCCAAGCCCTGTCCAACCTGGCCTTGGACACTTCAGGGCTGGTGCATGGATTGCACACGTTTTTTCAGGAGTTCATGCTGCAGAAGGATTCCCATGGCTGGACCTCACATCCCAGACTGCTCCTGCAATATGCAAAGCAGATTCTGCTGTGTGATAGAGGGCACAAGGAATGCAATAATGAGAATTTCTGCAATGTGCTGGTGTTTCTTCCAGCTCCTGACCATACAGAACACCTTAAATTTCTGTATTTAGCTAATGTCTTTATATTTGTTTAATGTATTTTCATAAGAAGATCAAGAAAGAAGCCATTAGCCAGTTTCTTTTTTCTAGATTTCTGCATAATGACCAATTAAGCATTTCTAGGGATCATGTTCAGGACTCATAAACAGTCCCATGAACTGGAGATCAGATTTGGAAACTACCATAAAACACTTCTACCTGAGTCATATTTGTGACCCCAGCAGAGGTATCTGGGAGAATCGTGAAGGAAGCCACACAGACAGTAAGAAAAGACTCTGCAGCCCCTGCTGAGCCAGAGAGGGGCTTGTGGAAAGTGTTTGGGGACGAGTCTCAGAATATACTCAAGATGTGCAGAAGGCAGCCCTGCGCTCTCCCCCCATTTCTTAAGGTGCTGTCTGCCCTGAGGCACCCTCTGCCCATTCCTGTAGAGAAGCTGATGTGACCAAACCCTGTGTTTTTTGCAGAGCCAATGCTGAAATTGCACAAGTGAGAGGCAAGGCCCAGCAGGAGCAGGCAGCGTACCAGGCCAGCCTTCGGAAGGAGCAGCTCAAAGTGGATGCCTTGGAGAGAACACTGGAACAAAAGGTAAATAAATCAGGAGCCAAGCTCTGCCTGAGGATTGTCCTGCAGCTCCCTGGCCTTGGGGACAGCAGCTCTCCCCAAATTTTAAGGCAAAACCCCACTGTGTGCACCAGGTTTGATTTGAGCCCAAGTGTTTGGGGCTGGCTCAGCCTTGGCCAGAGCTCAGGGTGCACCTCTGCAGCCCAGACCTTGGTTTGCTTCAGTTCCCAGACCTTGCTTTAGTTTTTCTCTCAGGTTCTGTTTCCCTTTTTAGTGTTAGCTGTAATTCCAGTGCTAATTCCAAAGTGTCAGTAGGAAATGCCTATTTATATCTCTCTGTTCTCTAGCTCAGCCAAGGGAGCTTGCTTTGGCATAGAACAGCTCGTCCTTGCTTGCAGCTCTGCAAGGCAGGGTGAAAATAATGAAAAAAAATAGAAAAGTGCAGGCTAGAAACAAATTTCCACTATTGTGGTGTGCTGGGAATGACTGCTGAGAAGCTGTCTGCTTTGGTGCTAAATTTGATTTATTAAAACTAGAGGAGCTGTATTTGGAAGAAAGGAAGCATTTGTTTGAATGGATGTAGCTGTACTATGAATGTGAACACTGAGTTGTACTATATATGCACATATATCTATATGTATAGATCTCCTGTTCTCAGCATTGGAGAAAAGTTATTTTCCCACACCTCTCCCACTAGTTAGATAACATTAAAATAATAAAAAAAAACACAACCTCATCTTAATGCAGCAATCCTTTTCATAATACTTCATGTTTTATTTTCCAGAATAAAGAGATAGAAGAATTAACAAAGATTTGTGATGAACTGATTGCCAAAATGGGGAAAAGCTAACTTTTAACCAAATTTCTGGACTTCGATATTGAGTGCAATATGACCATTGGCACACTGATGTCCATACATTTATGTGGACAGGTTATATTTTCACTTTTTCGTATGCACTACTGTATTTTCTTTCTAAATAAAGTTGATTTAATTGTATGCAGTACTAAGATGACTATCAGAATTTCTTGCTATTGTTTGCATTTTCATAGTATAATTCATAGCAAGTTGATCTCAAAGTTCCTGTATCAGGGAGATTGTCAAGTTCTCTAAGAAATTACAAATTGCTGATCCTAGCCTTCCCTTTGTACATGAGTTCCCATGTTGGATGTCTTTTGGATTTAATATAAACATGTATTACTTGCATGGGGACTCTTGCCTTAAGGAATGTAAACTTTATCTGCATTTGCTGATTTGTAAAATAAAATCTGAAAAAAAAAAAAAAAAGAAAATGCATGTCACAAATGAAATTCTCTATTGTAAATAAATTTTTTCGTTGGAAGTTGAAGATAAGTATGGCTCTCTTTTCTGTCCTTCACTTGCTTATTCCAGCACCAGATGCTCTTGGGAATTAATTCCTCCACAGAAAGCACTTCATGGGTCGCTGCTTGGAACACTTTGTGGGTCACAAGAGTCTGCTGCTTATGTGCACATATCTAGGTCTATATCTTAATGTCTCTCTAAATATATATATATATATATATATATGTGTCTATGTGTTGGATTTGGACCACTCAAGTCTCAAGCATAGGCTTAATCCTCCAAAATATTTAATGCTCTGACCCTGATCCAGCAAATCCCATGGGCAAATGTAATGAGGCTGCTGGAGGAGTCGGAGGCTGTGGCATGTGGTGACAGGATGGTTTTTAAGCATGTCTGGCACTGAAAGGTGAATAATTTCCTGCTCCTGGAAGAATTTGCCTGCAGGGCTGGTGGAGATGAGGTTGGTGTGATCAGAGGTGCAGCCAGAATAAGCTCCATAAGTAGCACTCTTGAACACCTCTTTATCCTGTAAGTTATCCTCTGCACAGGATTAGGGATGGAGGAGAAGCATTAAGGCTCTAATAGCAAACAAACTGCTTTCTTTGCCTAATGGTGCATCTCTTGGATCTCCATGATGTGGACAGTCTTCAGCCTGGTTCTTGTCAGCTCCTTTTTTGTCCTCAAAAGTAAGTCAGCTCCTTTTTCTTTCCTTTTTTTACTTCATTTGCATTTCCCACCTCAGGCATGGCTGAGCCTCTTCGCTGTTCTGGGCTCCTCTCCTGGATTGGGTGGGTTTCAGGTCATTTTGTGTGTGTGGCTGGCAGCACAGAACCACACCTCAGCTGAGATAAATGTGTGTGCTGGCAGATTCACATGTCCCCACTGATAGCAAGGGTGGGATTTCTGCTCTGCAAGCATCAAGTGTGGTGTTTGAAATACCTTTCAAATTCATGCTTGCCTTTGAAAATACCTTGTAGTTTGAGGCAAGGAAAAGAAATAGGATTAGGGTATTGTGTTTAAGCAAGAGCAAAACTGAAGATACACTGTTGTGCTTTCCAGCTGAATTGATACTTTAGGAGAACGAGAATATTGGCTCATTGTAAGATGTCATGTGTGTACAATGTGCTTGTTCGTGGTACTGTGGACCAAAGATCATGATAGAGGGGGGAAAAAAACAAGTTTTGGGCTCTGCTTTGAAAATGTTACAAGACGATACAGATGCAGTTACAGAACATCAGATGTTTCTTGTATTATTTTAAGTGCAGATTATAACAACTAAATAATCTGGGGTTGATTTTTTTATTACTCTTTTTTTGATCAGTATCTGAACCATTTCTAAAAAAAAAAAACATTGATAAGATTTGCAGACGCTTTGGATTTTCCAAAGCTTTTTTGCAATTTTTTTTTCTGTGTGCTTGAAACCATACTAGAAAGATTGATAATTTTAAATAATTGTTGTGAATTCTTAAGTGGTCTCTTCTCCCTCCACTCAGGTGAAGCACTGCAGTGTTACACCTGTGTAGGTTCTAGTGATGAGGACTGCAACAGACAAGGAAGTCAGCAGTGTCCAGGCCATGCAGATGCCTGTGCAGTCATTAGAGGACAAGCAAGTAAGTGTCACAAATGTGTCAGACTTGCTGCATTTGTCACAAAAGAAATAAATAATCAGTGTTGGAAGGAGATGGGTGCGTAGTAAGTTAAGGAGAAAACCAGAAGTAAATGTCTCCTCTCAAAATAAACCCCATTAATAGATCTCAGTGCTAGTTTTGTTGACACAGAATCCCCCTGGGAATGATTTGTCTGTGTGCCACAATGAGCTGCACGCACTCTGTGGGAAAGCTGGGAAGAAGCATTTTCAGTATTGCCCACTTTTTACTTAATTGACTTAGCTGGAAATTGGGATGGAAAAGAAGCTAATGAGCTCCTGCACTTGGGCACACCCAAAGATATTTAGGTGGGAGCTGTCGGTGTGTTGCCTTGTTGTGGCAGCATTCATTTACTGGCGAGGAGCAGCCCAGCCCGAGGTTGGTGCTCAGTGCTGGGGGGTCAGGCTGGTGCAGGGGGGCTGCAGGTGCAGTTTGCAGCCCCTGGGCTCACTGTGGCTCTGTTGCAGGTGGCATCATGAAGTCCTGCTCGTTCAGGTCCTTCTGCGAGCGGGCCAGGCGGGACGGAGCGCGGGCGCCCGGCGTGAGCGTGCACTGCTGCTACTCCAACAACTGCAACGCCAAGAGCCTGGCCCCCAGGGGCACCAGCTCCAGCCTCGCCCTCCTCATCCTCACTCTGCTCTGGCACCCCTTCCTGAAGCTGACATGAAGGGGGAAAAAGAAAACAACAACTCTGCCTTCGTAGCAAGGGATGATAATATTTCCTAATCACATCGCTCCGTGTACCATATATCTCACTAGGCAAAAAGCTGTAGGAAGACCTGACAGATGTTTAGATAAAAATTGTTTTATCTGCTAAATAGGTCTTGATCTCTATGTAAGAAACGCTGCCCTGTTGCTTATCCTGAGGGGTTGATTGTGAAAGTACGTAACATTTTCCTGCCATTTGGATAAGGAGAAATTTTTGCTGCAGGTAACCTGGTAGTAAGGTAAAGGGCAAATGTCTGCCAAATACTTCTTACTGTTGGCAGATATTCAAAAGCAAGCTTTTGAATTTTCAAGCTTTGAAATTTTCAAGCACAAAGTGACTGAAAATTCTAACAAGTGAGTTAATCTTTCAGAGTATATTGGCATACTGCACAAAAGGAAACTTGAAATACAGATGATTTTGTATTAATACAAACTGATAAGAGAAAATCCTTAAGAGAATAATAATGCATGGAAGTATATTCTGCTGTATATGATATGTTCCTAGCAGGGGGGCTGGATGGTCTTTTAAGTCCCTTCCAACTCAAACCATTCAATGGTTCCATGTGTGTATTTCCTTGGAAAAAACACCTTCCAGTCTTCTCTTTTCTGATCCTTTGAGAATTTTACCACAGCATCAGAAGAAGAAGAAAAAAGAAGAGCTTGGAAGTTGTTTTTGAACTGGTATTCCATCCAAAGATTGGCTTAATCTATCTCCCTTGCTGGTTTTAAAAACAACTGATTAATCCATGTCTTATAGGCAAATCATAACTTGAGTATAATTCTTGAGGTTTCAGTTATGTAAATTATTCTCCACTGCCCTAAATTGCAGTCTTTGAGAGTAAGAATGTATATATCTGTACATGTCTCCCCCTTCAGTGATGTGATTGAGTTGAGGTGGTTTATGTATCCTTTTCATTATGCAAAGTGAATGAAATTACTTGGATGTCTTTAGAGGTGTAAAGAGAGACTAAATCAATATTTTTAATAAACCCATTCATGGCAAGTTTACCAAGTAAATGATCCAGAAGGGATCACTTAGTAGAAGGCATTGTGCATCACTGCCTCCTTTGATCCCAAACTCAGAGCACCAGGCAAGCAGGTGAGTGATATTTGTAGATTTTAATGTCCAGCTGTGATGATCTGGTCCAGCCCCTGGCACACAGCGTGCACAGGATTGGCTGAAAGTCCAGCTGCTGTAACTGAAGTAGAGGTGGTTGTTCCAATTCTAGTTTTAGTTGCCTGGTAGGAGAAAGGTTAGGTCATCAAATCTATGGAACTCACAAAATACGTGGCAAAGTAGTTTCCCCCTAGCTTTGTGTTGTGACTTTTTTCAGTATAATTCTTTGAAAAATCAGTTCTGGGCAGTGTGTAGTGGAATTCTTCACACTGACCAAAATTTTATTCAGGCTGCAAACTCTGGAGCTGCTGCAAGGTCAATCAGTGAGCCCTCCCTGCAGAGTGTGACCCTTGCCTGCCTTGTAGCTGTCACAGGGGCTGAGCTGTCTCCTTCTTTTACTGTGCTCTTTCCCCAGTGTGGATCCTTCCATCATCTCATGTAGGTTGTGGCTTCAGCCTGGCTGGATTCTCCCTGTTCAGGTGGGCTCAGACAAGGCAGTTTGGTCTATTTTTAGTCTCTAGGCACCAGTCTGATAAAGCTGTTGGATAGAAAGATTGCAACAATGCAGCAGCTCTTGGCTGAGAATGTTAATTTGGACTCCAGCGTCTCATTGGTATAAAAATCACTTAAATTGTTGTAAGTATTTTTCATTTCATTCTCAGCTTGAAGCAGTTCCTTCAATCTCTTCTGCTACAGGAAGCAGGTATTGATTGTATCTTTATCTTCACATGGTTCTGTAATGATAAATTTGTATTGAATGTAATCTCTGTATGTGCTCAGTGCATTTCCTTAATGAGAAAATAAATTACATGCAATGGCTGACATTGTCTCTTGGTAAACACAACTGCTTCTTTTAATTGGGATTTCCAGCTGCATCTGGTGCTCTGTTTTCCTGCAGGAATCCTGTTGGGTGTTGTTGGTTTGGGGTTTTTTTTAATATGGGATATATTTCTTAAATCTGTTGGATAAAATAGTGGATGTTGGTAGTGTTCTTGCTGCTACATTTCCATGGTAAAATAAGAAGGTAAATCTCTATCCTCTTGACAAACACCATCTGTCATTCCTGACAGCAGCCAGGACTGGGATCTTCAGGCAGCTCGCACCTCCTCCATCCAATCCTGCCTCCCAAGCTCATCACGGGCTCTGCTTTGCTTTTTACAGCAAAAAAAAGGCATTTTTCCTGCCCAATTATGACCCTGAAGTGTGCCTGCATGTGGATGTCTAGGAAGGATGAACCACTTTTGTGGATTGGTGTTTTCAGAGAGGTTTTGTGCTGGTTTTTGACATAAGCGTTGACAGGAAGACAAGCACAGAGAAATTAAAAAAGAAAAAAAAACAGTAGGAATATTTTTTAAACTCCATTAAAATGCAGAAAATATTTTAATGTTTTTGTTGCCGTGTCTGTGCAGAGCTATTCCCAGTCACAGATGCAATAGAAGTTGGTTGTTCTGAGGGTAATTCCTGCTGCAGCCACAGGCTCCTTCTCCCTTCCTCTGTGTCAGCAGCAGAGAGGCTGATGCTGAAATGCTTTCTGCTGCAACTCAGACTGTCAGG